CTAGGTTGCGCTCGACCTCCGCCCCTTTGCGGCGTGATCCTTTACACGCTTCCTTATCAGTAATATCGGGTTGTGCTACACTAACCGGCGCGCTCATTATTGTTTGCTGAACCCAACTCCTTACGAAAGGTTCCACCTGAGTATTCCGCTCTTCATCATCCTCACTCGAGTCGATTTCCTCTTCTCGGTTGAGTCGTGCCAACTCCAATTGAGACTTGGCTAAGGCAGCAGCTGCCTGTGCTCGTTCGAGCTCTGAGCGTTCGAATTTAATCCGCGCCTCTAATTCGGCTTTCAGCCTCGCCGATCGCGATGACCTACTACCTCTCTGTGACCCTTTATCACTAGTGTGCCCGATTACTGTCCTTGACGATGCCGCTTCTTCGGTCCTTTGACCTACTTTTTCGACCACCGTTTCACTCCTGGATATAACGGATTGTTGTGCGGTGCTGGCCTGCGTACCACTGGTGTCCGTCCGGTTGCTCGTCGTTGCTATGGACGTCCCTGAGTCCCACGTGCATGTGGACGTGTCTGTGGTGGCTCCACTTGAAGGAGTTGCTCCATTTGACGCAGTAGCTGTGGTCGCTCCAGATGATTCCGCTTCTTTAGCTTTTCTTGAGAGCCCTGTCCTTGTCCTGCTCCCTTCGCTTCTCCCTGTCTGGTCTTGTGCCTTCTTCATCTTGCAGGAAGGTGATTGTTGGCCTACGGTCCCTAACTGTCCCTACAGTCCCTACGGTCCCTACAACCCCTTACCTACAACCCTTCTACACCCCAACCTAACACCACTACCCCTCCCCCCCTTTATCTCCCAACCCTACAACCCTACTACCACCCTAACAGCCCTATCAGCCCTATCAATCCTGAACGGGGCCTACCGAGGTGAGCCGTCCAGGGATGGAGTCGTGCAGGAATGGAATGGAGGAAAGGTTTAGGAACTGTCCCGCCAAGGAATATGACGAAACAGTCGAGCGGTAGTGCAAGCGCAGTCTCGCTCGAGAGAACTGCTCCACCCGAAGGTGTTATGCCAGAGCCCAACCGTTTGGCACCGTTAGGTGGTCGGGATGTATGCTGTGCTCGCCGCCCAGTTGCCGGTGACGCCTCGTCCAAGCGCCCTCCTCCGGCCGCGATGCAGTCAGGTGCCCAAGCGCACCCTCGCCCGACAGCAGCAGCGGTGGATGCTTTTTGCACCCTGATGACACGACGGGAAATGCCGGACACGGTCGTCCGACAGGAAATGTCAGACACGATCGTCTGACAGGAAATGCCGAGCACGCTTGCCCGACAGGAAAAATGCCAAGCCCTGCTTGGCCACGATGAGTGCCTTCACAAGACACCTGCGCCCGGCTGCGATATGTGCCCCATGCGAGCACACGCCCCAAGCTGCAATCCCGGTTTTCTTTCTTCCGGTAGTTCCAGGTCCAGCCCTTCAGTGCTGCCGTCCTGGTCTTCAGGCCTTTGGTCCTATTGCTTCAGCTCAAACCTCTGGCTTCCTTCGGTTGCTGATCTTCACTCGGCTTCCGAAGGTCTTCTTCTTCCACAACCAGCAGTCCACAGCTGGTTCCTTGATCCAGCTGGCGGGGTTCGGGTGGTCTTCAATCCGGCTCGAAGGACCAATTGAAAAGGAACACAGGTTCGCGAGTCCTCTCAATCCGGCCGCGAAGGACCAATTGAAAAGGAACTCAGGTCGGACGTCCCTCTTGATCCTGAAAAGGACCAATTGAAAAGGACCTAGCGGATCGGGTACTAAGAAACAGGAATCGAGGCTTCTCTCGATCCGGCCTCCTATCACGCCTACGTTGGGTTCGGGAACAACGTATGTGATCTCCGCAACGGAGTAACACACTAGGGCGATAACCTCTTCCTTTTCAGCAAGTAGGTTCAGACGGGGATTACGGGTCTTCCGAAGTCGTCCCGGTCCCGACGCCTTAATTCTTCGATGTGGACTGTATAATTTTGAGGGCTGAATTTCTTGGGAATAAAACAGCAATTATCTTCAAACCGTTCCGTGAGAGAGTAATCACTTTTCCCTATCACTTCCCTACACTTTTTCTTTCTTGACTGCTGGTTTTGCACTTTTCCCGAAGGATTTTCGTACTTTCCCGAAGGATTCCCGAACGATTCCCGAACGAATTGCAATAAAACCCGTTCACTAAGCTACCCCAGAGCTATACGCGAAAGTGAGCCGCGCCATCTGCGCGCTTGCGCAACTTAATTACATGAATTTGTACTATTACTCTCTCACGTTTCACTCAATATCTTTATTTATTCAAATCATATACAAATACAATTTATCAATATAGGTAGTACAAAACAATATCTACACCATGATATACATCATATCCTCATATCATAAAAAACCTTTTATTTATTAAACGAAAACTGCCTATTTTACTCACAAGTTCGAAATCGAAATTTCTTAAATATTTAACACAGAAAGTTAAAACAATATTTCTCACTTGAATTTATACATAAGCTATCCAATACAATAGTTTAATTTACATTTTTTCTATTTATTTCACTATTTAAAACACTTTTAAATTTCTTATACAAAACTATCATTATTTCACTTATACACAGGAATTTTCACATGAAAATAACACAGAATTTACCTTTTTTGCACGTACAATTAACCTGAAATATTTTACAAGTAATTTTTACATAAATCACTGAATTACAAACATTTTAAATTTTTACATATTCGGCCTCCTAAGGGCGTGGCTTAGCGTGCGTCTATGAACTCACACTATTTGAACAACTAACTTTTGCACGGCTCTCGGCTATCAGAAAAAATGAAATTCTGAAATTCACCAATTTTGACCATATTAGGCAAATTAAATGCTTTTATACAATTTTCGAACTGTATGAAACTATCTTTAATCAGATAACAATATAAATGAATGTTCTCATTAATCAATCATAACAAATAGGCATTTGTTTTCGTACAAAACGTATCAAACTTATACAAAACAACATTTATGCAATTAATATCCATTAATTCTGCCTATGCACAGAGTGATTATCTCGACCGGGGAACAAATCCGATCTTTAACTTCACTTTAATATTCTTATGAATTTACATCATTTGAAAGATGATTTCAACCGGGGAACAAATCCGGTAACATAATTTATATCTTAAATTCCTTACGAATTTATTAAGCGATATTACTTAGGAAAACAAACAAACTAGTCCGGCCTGGGAGTCGAACCCAAGACCTTCATATCATTAATTCGACATTTCTTAAAGATTTAACTAAGCATTCTCTTATCAGAGCGTCGTTGCTCGTGACTGCCCCTTTTTTCATAGCAACGTCATCGGTTGATTTAATAAACTGAAATATTTTTATAGGCGCGTCGCCAACATCCACTATCCCCAAAACTTTTCTCTGCAATATTGGAATATTTAGGGATCTCGAGTGGGACAATTTTGGCATCAATATCAACGGCAGGCAACTCAATCATTTAAGATTCGCGGATGATATAGTCCTCATAAGTGACAACGCTAATACACTTCAACATATGCTACAACAGTTGACGAATGCAAGCCGAGTAGTTGTTCTTACTATGAATAAATCGAAAACAAAAGTAATGACAAACAGGGAAGAAATTGACATAAAAGTAGATTATGAAGATATTGAATATGTTACAAAATACACATACTTAGGGCAATTAATATCATTTAGAGATCATACAGACATGGAAATAGATGGAAGAGTAGCTTGCGCTTGGAAAAGATACTGGTCCCTTAAAGAAATATTCAAAAGTAAATACTTTCCTATAACAGCCAAGAAAAAAGTGTTTAACTCCTGTATCTTGCCATGTCTTACACATGGATGCCAAACCTGGGCGTTGAATCAGAAACACCTTCTAAAACTGAGAACATGTCAAAGGGGAATTGACAGAAGTATGTTGGGCGTGACGCTAAAAGACCGCAAAAGAGCAGAAGATATTAGATCTACAACAAAGGTGGAAGACATAATTAAGAAAATTAGACAGTTAAAATGGCGATGGACAGGCCATATGGCAAGAGAAAGCAGGATAAAATGGACGCAAATCGTAACAGAATGGCAACCACGTGATGGCAAAAGAAAAAGAGGTAGACAAGCAAAAAGATGGACAGACGATATCAAGATTATTGGAGGGACGATATGGACTAGAAAAGCCAACAACAGAGAAGAGTGGAAAGAGCTGGAAGAGGCCTATGTGTCACAGGACACGCTGATCACTAAACTTGGAAAACCGTTATGCTAGATTATAATTAAGTTCAAACAATCATATACTATGTAAAACAAAATGTTTAGAATCAGCAATAAAGGCTATAAAAAATTTTTAATAACTGTCGTTTTAATTCGAAAATTAATGAAGTATTATCAGCAAATAATACTATATCATGGTTATTTCCTACTATGTAAGGTAAGTCATTAATATATACAAGAAACAGAAAGGGGCCGAGAATTGAGCCCTGAGGTACGCTCATTTGTACAATCGAACTGGAAGAACTTATAGGGTTTGTTCCGAAATACAACTCAGTACACTGGCAAATGCAAATGACGTCATCAATTGACACTATATTGTACTGGCGTGCCGCCGCCATATTGCGTCGGATATCCGGCCACAATAAAACAATTTCTAATTGTGTGTGCGCTGAATGAAGCATGCCAGAATTTGTTTTTATTTATTCAAATACAAAAAATTATAGAATAATTGCTGGTATCTTCATTAGGAAGATAAAATAATTTTTGGAGCACAAAATGACAAAATAATCGCCAAAACTTTTCCAATATGGCGTAAATGTATGACGTCATATACTGTCCTATGTTTTGGAACGAATCACCAGTATAGCGTCGATTCATGACGTCATTCGCATTCAACAGTGTACTGGGTTGTATTTCGGAACATACCCATACTATTAATGACAACTTTTTGCGTTCTGTCACTTAAATATGAAATAATTAATTTAAGAGCATCACTTCTTACACCATAAAGACTTCTATAATAATACTCACCAGAACGCCTACTATCATCACGACGCCAGTTACTTGCAGACGTAGACGTAGACTTCGGTTCATCCAATTTGCGCGGTGTGTCAATGTCCTTAGGTCTCTCAGCTTCCCTAGTAAATAGAAATTGCAATAATTTTATATTTCAATGACATTCACAACAAGTATGAAGCAAAAATCACATCGGTGTCTTTATCCTATACCTTTAAAAACGAGCAATTCTTGTATATATATAAGCGGAATCTCGGAAACGGCTCCAACGATTTTCATAAAATTTAGTGTCCAGGGAGTTTCGGGGGCAATAAATCGATCTAGCTAGGATTTATTTTTAGAAAATGTCCTTTTGTCCGTGTTTTCAGGCAATAAAAAACTGCTACAATATAAGAAGGTAAATTTTGACAGACTACCAATGATCGTAATAGCTCAGGTGGGATGTCGGTCGGGCGTGATAACGAAGTTCCGTGGTTCGCGTCCCGTCTTGGGTCCGACTTTTTTTCCTTTTTTTCTCAAATTCCCTTCTTTTGTGAGAAAATCTATTATTTCGAGCCCTTTTTTTTAGTAATTTTTAAAAATAAGAAAAATTTTAATTAAACTAATTTCACTCATGATTTTCATTCAAATAACCAGTTCAGTTTTTTCTATTATGTCAATAAGATCAAAAAATATTATTCATGTAATTTGTATCTAAATGTAACTTAAAAAAAAACCAAGCAAAGCTCGGTCATCCGGGTACTGTATCTAAATTATAGAATAGAATAATTTCTATTCCATAGAAATTACAAGAATTCTTAATCAGTCATTTATCATTTTACCATAGATATGAAAATAACATGCACTACCCCATATCGTCCCTAGGGTGTCGTAATAGGCGACATGCAGACAGCAGCATCTTCCCGGTTACAACTCTAAATTATAAAAATCTGCAGTGGCCAATCCGCCCGCCAAGTGTGGCCACTAATCCAGTAGGACTTTTTTAAATATCATTTTACAATATATTATGTTGTATAATATGAAAACACAACAGTATGGTGGTGTAAAAATGAGAAGCTATGAACATTCCAGTTGTATACAGTGTTTATATATGTAGGGCAAAGTGTGACATGCAGATACTGAACTACCCTGAACCTAACCGAGCATTTTGCGAGTTTCATGCCACAGGTTCACCAATCCTTAAGCAACTCAGATTTGCCAATGACACAATAAGATGACTAACTTGTCGTCCCTCAACGGAGGCCTGTCGTCCTTGGGAGGCGGGCCCCTATCGTCGCGTCGCTCGTCTCGTCGCTCGTCGCGAACTGGTCGACGCTCGGGCGAGCGCGGCCGTTCATCGCGTCGGGCTGCATATCAAATTAATATTCAATTATTAATAATTACTATACAAGGAGATTTAAATATAAATATATATACTATAAGCGGACATTGGGAACATTTATATACAAAAATTGTAAGCACGCGCGTGGGTTAAGCCCTCGAGCGTAAAATAGAAATACTATGCTGAATATTTATTTGGAAATCATTTTGGCTATTTCTCATTAGGTAACACTTCTAAATATAAGGTAAAAATCGGTTATACGTCGTTAATTACTAATATATTTGTAAATAAATAGTGACGTTACTGGATAACAGAGGGCACCTATTACAATATTTTTTCTCTCTTCTGGAACAATCTACCAGAAATAATAAAATTTAAAGATTATTTGGTAAATATACATTTTTATTAGGATAATAAACCGAATTCATGTTCACTTTTTGCTTTATATCGTGACTTACTATACCTTAATGCACAACCGGGCATATTTTCTTTAAAAATATTTTTTAAATTTATGAAACGAATGTCTTGACCTTTCGGTGATGTCACTTACACTAAATGACAAAAATCGGAGATATATCCTATAGGACAAAAGTTACAGACGACAATTTTGTTGCTGATATCCTTTCTATTACTACTACATACTTAAATGTCTTTGTTACCATACAATTAAATAGGTTATCACAAAAATATGACTACTATATATTTTTTATTTAAAATAGAAATACAATAAATTAACATTCTCAATTTGTGATAAAGTCTACCTAAAATTAAACCGACTATCACGAAAATATGACTACCATACAAAACTGAATTATTTTTTTCTGTAAAATAGAAATGTATCAATTTAATATCTTTTGGATTTGATAAAGTCTACTTACAATTAAATAGACTATGACAAAAATATGATCATCATTGAATGGAATCCCATAGTAAGAAATAGACTAGGAACACTATTAAACGAATTATTAATTAATTCATACAATAATAATTATTACTGTTTTCGGTTAACCACTACAAATAAGCTTAAAATGCTTGATATAGGACTGGTCAATGGCGGATTCAAACTCAATATTTCTAAATAGCGATTCATACCCCTTTTTTAAATACGAGCTGGTATTTTAATATCATAAGAGTTTTCATGACAAACTTTGTCACAAGATGTGACAAGTAGTGACTATAAGAAATTTAAGAAAGATATCATGTATTTAAACAGATTGTGGTATAATTATCCTATTACCGCAAGACTTAAAATGCTCAGACTAGAAACGGAAGCAACATCAATAGTGCGAGATGTCTAAACAAATATGAAATGAATAAGGGTTACAAATGAGCACAAAGTCCACCTGATTATAAGTGGATGCTGTGGCCCATAGATGTCTATATTTATCCTTGATTAAAGATCAAAACAGATGTGCTGTCACCACTGAGAACCAACATCGAATGCTTCACTTCCTCTCATAGCAATTACTTCCTAATACAGGAGGACAGGTGTGGACATGTAATATATGTCAAGTAGTGTATGGATAGACAGAAATGAAGTAGTAATTATTAATTCAAACTTATCACATACAGAATGGGTGCGTTTGGCAGAAAAAAGCACTAGCAAGCGCTTATAAGCGCTGAAATAGTTTTCGGCCAGGACACGATTGCTACTTCAGTAGCGCTGACACAATCCGCCATTTTGCTTATTTAATTTGTTTGTTTTGAAGTAGAGTTTTTAAGTTGTTTTGTGTAATATTAGTTTTAAGTAATATAATAACGTGAATAAACATATACATGTTATTAAAAATTCATGATGTGTAAGTTTTTAATATGAATACTTTACAAACATATATTTGAATTAGGTTAGGTTCCCCGGTTAATACTAACATCGTGTCCTGAAGGAAAATAGCTACTTACGATTTGACAGCGCTTACCGCTTACGATCGCCATTTTGCTTACAAGCGCTTACTAGCGCTTTTTTCTGCCAAACCACCCAATGTTACGTATTTTATTAAGAAATATTCATTATTTTATTTTATTTATAAATATTTAGATTTTAAATATCATACCAGGTTCACGCCTCCAGCTAGTCATAGCGGAAGCCTTTTGTTCTTCCAACTTGCGTGCAACATTCGCTTCTTGTGCGCGCGCCTTAGCCTCAGCACGGGCCAACATCTCCTGATATTCCCTGTAATTTAAAAAAAAAAACCATTATTATATTGTTAACAACCTTTATAAGTCGACAGCAAATTTTAACGTCTCCGCTTTGCGTTCGAGATGTGCAAAATAGGTTTACATATTTAAAACAAGACAAATAGACAATAGCTAATAAGTGTACCATTAGCACAGTTTGTTTGTTAATACAATGTTATAAAAGAATTATTCCAGAACACACGAGACTTCAAGAATATCATCATCCATGAAGGTAAGAGAACAGGAGAACAATCACTACGTACTAAAGCATAGCCCGCCTGTCTTTGAAAATTTTAGAATTTATAGCGGCGCTGACGTCGGTGAGTAGTGACTGAGAAGTTAGCTGTATATGAGTACAAGTAGATGAAGTTAGTTGAATAATGTACAATTTTCTCCACGGCATTGGTGAGAAAATTTTCATGCTCCGTAATTTTGTAATTTTTGACAAAAAGAAACTTTAAAAAACGTAGAAATATTTTATTGTGCGTGGATGTGCAAGTGGTTTAGCATCTGATCGAAAAATAGACTGAAAATGACTTTTATTGACCGAACTTAGCGATCGCAGCGCCTCACTTATGGTGTCCATATTTCTGGGGCACTATTTTCTACGGCGATCGTTCTGCTGTTCTCTAACCTTCATGATCATCATCAGTAAATATTTTTCTGTTCGATTTTTAAATTGTTCAAATGTATTTACTTCTCTTGGCGTTCCTTGCGTTCGCGCAGCGCGGCCAGCTCCTCTTGGCGCTTGCGTTCGCGTTCTTCTTTCTCTCGCTTTTCTTCCTCTTCTTTAAGGCGTTGCGCTTCTTCTGCTGCGCGCTCTTCTGCCTTGCGTTTCTCTGCCAACCACTGAAATATGAAAATTTACACATTGACAATATATAGTTTTATAATAAGTTTCATGTTTAACAGATTTAATAAAAATAGATAACTAAAAACATAACTTAAAAAAATTAGCATATGTGAGTCTGTGATCAGGTCTGAAATGACAATTTAATGATAATGTCAAGACTCTTAAACCAGAATTATTTAATTAAATACTTTGCATATTATTTACCATGTACTCTCATAATAATTGATTCTGTTTTTGTTTTCAATTGTTGTTTTCTTAATTAATAACTTTTTTTGTTAACTAGCGATCCGCCCGCCCGGTTGTTTTCTGGATCTCGACCACAGCAATCTCCCAAATGTGAAATATAAAACCATCTAGGGATCCATTCAAACACAAAAATTTTCATAAAAATCGGTTGGATAGTTTCAAAGTCTATAACGGACGTAGGTAGAAACATTTGCGTTTTATAGTTTGGTAATTAACTTATTTGCATAATTTGTCATTGCATTGATCGGATGTTATTCCTACTTCAAATTAATTCAAAATTAAGTTTGCGTGACTCATTTTGACAATGGTATGTACACTTTTGATATCCATTTCAGTGAGTATTAAAAATGTGCATATTTTTGTGATGTTAAATAAATAAATCTTACATGACCTTTTTTGTTCATCAAGGCGCAAGCGCACGTGAGGCAAACCCTTGTCGCATGCGCTATGACAGTTGAAGGCGTACGGTCGGGGGAATTTCTGTGCCACAAAGCGTTTAACAACAAGATGGCGGAAGAAAAAAAATTATATTGAAGTTTATTGAAGATTACAGAAACTTTCCACAAATTTGGAATTCACAGCAACGACCAAATCCTAGTTTTGGCTATTAAATATAACATGGACATCGATGGAGTTATAAAATGGGAATGATATAAATTATCTCCAAATTATATCCAGTGCCACACTTTTTCTTGATGATTTTCTGATGCTCTTGGGAAAATATGAGTGAAGACTATTATTTTTTTTTACTCTAAAAACTTTCACTTGATTTATTTTCTGGATAAGATAAATGTGGTATGCAAGATGATGTTGTGACCAGGATTAAGAAAGGAATGCTTCGGTGGTTTGGTCATGTAGAAAGAATGAATGAGGAAAGAGTGAAAAAGCCAATTTATATGGCAGAGTCGGGAAGGGAAGCCCTAGAAAAAAGTTTATCGACCAAATTGGCGATATTTTGAAAATGGGCTACTTTAGAAGTACCCTTAACCGACGAGCATGTATGCGTGATATATGGATGTAAAGGAGGCGAAAGAGGTATGTCATGATCGTGCCAAATGGAAGTCCATAGTCTCTGCCTACCCCTCTGGGTGACAGGCGTAAGTGTTTATGTATGTGTTTTCTGGAATTTCTTATGACTAAGTAAGCCGCACATATTCCACCAAGTAAAATTTACTCCTCGCACAAGCCGACAGAAACTCAAATAATTTTAGCGTCATGTTCGTTGATTCAATTATCCAATGCGCTAAACGAAAGTTGAATAGAACGATGACGAAGAAAGTTGAAGATGAAAGGGCATACTGTGGACATACCTATTGGCTAACTAGAGCTTTTTTTATAGAAGAGGGGGCAAACGAGCATGCGGCTCACCTTATATTAAGTGACTACTGCCGCCCATGATCATCCGCAACACCAGGGGAATTGCAGGTGCGTTGCCGGCCCTTTAGAAAGAGTAAGCTCTATTCTTGAAGGTCCCTAGGTCGTATCGGTCCGGAAAAATCGCCGGTGGTAAACTACTCCACAGAGAGATCGTACGCGGAAGAAAACTTGTGAAACGTTCAGTGGTGGACCACCAAGCATCCCGATGGTGCGGTTGGTATCGGGACGTTTGCCGCGTAGTGCATTCACGAAATTTGGCGGCTGGGATTAATCCGAACAATTCCTCAGAGCACTCCCTATGGTATATGCGAAAGAAAATGCAAAGACATGCAACATCTCTTCGCATCGCCAGTGAATCGAGCAGATCGGAAAGCACTCGGTCGTCGACGATTCGTGCCGCTCTGCGCTGGATGCGGTCAAGTGGTAGGAGCTGGTACTGGGGAGCCCCAGCCCAGATTCCATGTGACCAGTATTCCATGTGCGGCCGTACCTGCGCCTTGTAAAGTTGCAGCAATTAGAGGCATTAGTGAGAAACGTAGTTGCGGTTAACGCGCAAACTTGTGTCTTTTGGGGGTTAAACTGGATTAGATTTAGTCGCCCCCAATCCGAGACCGTTCAGCAAAGACTCGACTTCAAACACAAGTTTGTCCCGGTACTCGGAGACGTTTTCCCGAGAAATATTGGCACGGCCGGTGTACAGAGCATCACCAGTGTTGTCATCTGCATAGCAATGAATGTTACGGGTTTGCAACATATCATTGATATGCAAAAGAAACAGCGTTGGCGATAGCACGCAGCCTTGTGGAACACCAGCATTAATAGGCTTGTAATCGGAGCTTGCACCGTCTACAACGACCTTGATGCTCCGATCTGCAAGAAAGCTGGTGATCCTATCGCACAATTTCTCGGGAAGCCCATAGGAAGGGAGCTTCGAAAGAAGCGCTTTGTGCCAAACCTGATCGAAGGCCTTCGCAACGTCCAAACTAACGGCCAATGCCTCCCCCTTGGACTCTACTGCCTCCACCCATCTATGAGTTAGGTAGACCAGAAGATCACCAGCTGATCGACCACGGCGAAAACCGTATTGGCGGTCACTAATCAGCTGGTGATCCTCAAGGTACCTCATGAGCTGGCAGTTAACAATAGACTCCATTGTTTTGGAGAACAAGGAGGTGGAGGAGGAGGAGGTGATGGCGATAATCCGGTAGTTGGTCGGGTCTGGGCGGTCGGCTTTTTTAGCGATCGGGTGGACGATAGCCGTCTTCCATGATTTTGGGACTACGCCTAGGGAGTAGGAGTACCGGAAAAGACGCGTTAAAACCGGTGCCACTCTGGAGCACACGTCCTCAGCACAATTGGGGGGATTCCGTCAGGCCCACTCGACTTGTAGATGTCCAGGGAGAGAAGTGCTTTGCGAACCGAACGCTGTGTGAAGGCATGGAGCACTCACACCGCGGGATAGTCGGCGGCGTACTCCCCTCGTCATCGAGAGTCGAGTTGGACGCAAAGAAAGAGCCTAGCAGATCGGCTTTCACCTTTGCGGTATGGGCCAATAAGTCGTCCTCCCTGTGCAGAGATGGAAGAGATGGCTGACAGAAATTCTCCTGGACACCCTTGGAGAGAGACCAGAATGCAGGAGCCTAAACGGGCCTCGACGGAAATCTGATATATAGGTGATATCTGATATCGTCCGGGTGAGAGCTCAGCAGAAGGTCCAACAGGGAAGGTGCATGATCCTCCACATCTGGAATCCTCGTAGGCGAGGTAACCAGTTGTGTCAGATCATATGCCAAGGCAAAATCATGAACAGATCTCCCCGCATGATCGGTTAAACGTGAACCAAGCCATTCGGCGTGATGGGCGTTAAAGTCGCCGAGGATCACGATCTCTGCGGAGGGGATCTGATTTAGCAACGAATCTGTAGCCATTTGGACGTGGTTGTAGAGTCGGTCTTTGTCGGCATTACCGCTATGGGACCTATAGAGGCACACGTAGACGCGCGGATGGTCGTCACTGTCTACGCGTAGCCAAAGGATGGAAAGGTCCGAACCTTCAAGTCTGCCGAGGCGTCGAGAACAGATGTCCTTTCTGACGTAAACGCAAACTCCAGCCCGAGGCACAAAGGAGTGTTCCAGTTTGTGTCCCAGGTAGGAGAGATACGAGACATCAGCCGGAGAGGACACCTGCATCTCGGTCAGAAAGAGCAGAGCCGGCCTCGCCGTCTCGAGATGGTAGTGGACGGCGTTTAGGTTAGAGTGAAGTCCCCTGATATTGATGAGAAATTCACGGATAGCGTGGCAGGGGTCGCCTTGGTCTTGTTGCTCCGTTTGCCGCGAGCAGTTGTAGTCTTGAGCGGAATTTTGCCCCCCCCCCCCCCCCCCCCCCAGAATACGCGGGGCAGCCTGAGCACCCACGCTCAGGAGTGGAGTAACTTGGTCGTGGATGCGCGACCGGAGGGAGCGAGGGTTTCTCCAGGGGTGCTGGTGTACCCTCCTGGGGTAGATCTTCACTTTCCGCTACCATGTTAAGGGGGGGACTACTATGTTAAGGGAGTGCAGGTGGCCGGAGCTCCGGCCACCTGCACCCCAACATGGCACCAGACGAAACGTGGAAGCAAAGCTTCCACTTCACGCCGGTATTCTGTTAAGTTGTGGTACCACCTCGGTTTGAGCCAGTGCATACGTTTAACAGCAAAGCTGCCGCGTGGCTCTACCACTGTTAAATTTTAGATTTTTACCACTTTAGTTTTAAAAGCAACTGCTACCAGAAATTATAACGTCTTTTTGTCTGAAGAAAAAAGTATGTGATTGCGTGTGTGCGTACGTTAGTGTATGCGTGTTTGCTGACAGGGCACTCTATGTGCATATGTCCGTGTGTACCTGCGCGGGTGTACGCGTCGCGCTCGGCGGCGAGCTGCAGCTGACGTGTGCGTTTGTGTGTACGTATCTCTTGGCGGCGGCGCTGCGCAAGGCGCGCGTCTCGCTCGACGGCGAGCTGCAACTGAAGTGTGCGTTTGTGTGTACGTACCTCCTGGCGGCGGCGCTCAGCGCGCTGCTGACGGCGCTGCGCGAGGCGCGCGTCGCGTTCGGCGGCGAGCTGCAGCTGGAAGTCGGCGAGGCGCTTGGCGTGCGCGGCGCCACGCTCGCTGCGCAGGCGCGCGGTGAACTGGTCACGGTGCGTCGCCATGCGCGCCAGCCGCGCAGCCGTCGCCACGTCGCGCGCGCGCGCCTCTGCGCACCGTCACAATTTTAATTAGCTCGTTCATTTGTTGTATGTTGTAGTGTAGTATAGTCCCCACGACTACATATATTAGAATGAAGGTAGGATAAGTTAGGACTGTATTATAATTAAACTATTTTGGTTTTATCAATTTCCAGTTATTTTATCAATTTTCCATAAAAATATATCTTAATGGCAAGCAAATTACCCCTCCAAGCTCGATAAAAGATATTACAGATAGACACTTAAATTTTATTTATATGTAAGTATATAAAATGTACAAGAAGTTCATTTAATTACAAAAATTTAATTAATTTAAAAAAATTAATTTTCAGTAATGAAAATTATTACATTTAAAAAAGTGATATTTCATTTAAAATTTATTACTTGTTACTATAGATTATTTATTATGTACATTAAACATGTTAGGTTTTTGCATAATTATTTTTGGAGTAGCCAAAAAAATAGAAGTGCAAAACATTTCTTAGTACTTACGTTCACAAAATCACAAAAATGCTTACCCTTGGCATTCTGTGACAAATTTGGAACACAAGTTATTTGTCGTATAACAATGGCCGTATTTAAAAAAAATACGGCCATTGTTAGATATAATGCCTAAGGAGGAATATCTTGTAATTGACGACCAAATGATCCCGATCAAGGCTCGCACATCGGGTAATAAACAATACAATGCAAAAAAATAACCACACAAATGGGGTTATTTAAATTGTTTTAAGTGGAGCCAGCGGGAATAGCTGCGGTTTGAATTGTTTGGGGGTAATCATCCGGGACCTCCACAAAACTGTTCAGATCTTGAGGTCCCCGGAAACATTGTGCAAAGATTGTTACTGATGGTTCCGGAGAACTTAAACTACAAATATTTATCGACAATTCGTATACAAGTTTGCAATTAATAGACATTCTTGTAAAATTTTTAAATAAGTATTTATCCAGCATTAATTCCTTGTCTACGGAATCCAAAGTGTCACGCCTATTTAGGTAGGGTCGAATCCACATTCGTGTCCTTTTTTTTCGTTTTTCTGCCAAAACAATGTAAGCGGCTGCGATGAGCGTCATTTTGTCGGCCATTGTTGCTGGATTGTGTGGCTCATTAAAGGGTTCTGAATCAAAGGCCATACTATTGCAGCTATATTGCAACATGTTGCCTGCAATTGATTGCTCAGCCATAAAATGCACTAAAATGTTTTTTTATGGCTGGGCAATGTTTGCCAATAACCACAGCTTGTCAGCCACATGCAGCAACAACAGCCACAAATTGTCATAAAATATAGCCCGTTTAGACGCCCCATTAGTTAATTAGGAACCATACAATTGAATAGAGCCCAAAATATAAATCTGCAAAAAAGATCTTATGGAACATATAAGAGAACATTGCATAGAAAAATCTACTGTCATTGACAATGTCCAGATATCAGTAACAAATTGGGTGGACAATGAGGCCATGAGCTTGTGTTCCACATATGTAGGAAAGGAGCCAAGGGGTCCATGTCTAGATTCATAAAGCAAAAGAAGGCGAAAGCGGATATCCCATGTCCAAAAGCAATATCAATCTATAACAAATATATGGGTGGTGTTGACCTATTGGACTCGATGTTGGGGTTCTATAGAATTATAATAAGAAGCAAAAATGGTTTCACAGGATATTTTTCCACATGGTTGACCTTATATGCGTCAACAGCAGGTTCATGGATAAAATAGAGGATGTCACATGCCCTTGTTGGATTTTAAATTGCTCATGGCAGACATACTTATGAGACAAGATGTATTTTCGTTTTCGCCAACGACAAGAAAAAGAGGTCGGCCACCTACCCAAGTAGAAAATATTAATAAAAGACGAAGACTGGAACTACCATCAATAGAAGTAGCAAAAGATGGCTTAATAATGGCTACAATGGTTGTCAATGATGAAACTTGAGGAATATGTCTAAAAATCACAAATTATGAGCAGTAAATGCATGTATTACTTGTGTTTAAACAAAGATCACAACTGTTCCACATTCTTTTATATGGAAAAATTATAATTTAAGCAATAATTAATAAAAGTTACACATTATATATTTTTTATTTTATTTTTACTTCATGATGTTCCGAAAATGGAACAATCAATATTGCATGTCTGAATGCATGATGTTCCAGACTTGGAACAAAGACTTTTCCCGTTTAATTTTTCAATAATGCAATTAGTTTTCTTTTCTGTTTTTAAGGGCTTCATTTCGGCCACTTGTCAACATATATTTTAAAAAATCCATGAGGTATAGGTTTAATCTATCCTCGCCCAATATCAGAGGGGGTAATATCGAAAACTAATTATAACACTAGCAGAATCAAACAGTTTAAGCTTTTGTTAAAAGTCCCGCGAGTCTGCCTGTAAGTTTCAAAACACAAAAAAGATTTTTTTATTTTTCTGTAAACTATTACGACCTGACCCTATCACCCGATTTCGGCTTGACGTTGACTTCTGGGACACCCCTGTATACTAAATATAGATGTCTAATAATATTACAAAATCATCAGAAATAATAAAGGTCTGACAATTAGGTTACCTATGAGCTGTTGAATTCGTTCCTTCTCCTGCTGCTCCCAAAACGCCTTATCTTGGACTTGTTTCTCTTCTAAACTTTTTTGAAGGAGCGGAATTTCTTCTAAGCGCTTGGCTCTCTCAAAATAGTCAACCTGTTCAGTTAAAAAAAACTTTTAAATTTAAGTAATCAAAAATGATCAAACAACTTTGATCATACTTTTAAAAATATCCGGCTCGAAGGACCACTTATTCAGTGTCTAGTCTTTATATTTTTATAACAAAACATATTACCTTTTTCTCTTGAGATTTCAATCGCGCTTGCAGTTCCCTACGTTCTTTCATAAGCTCTTCAGCCTCACGTTGAGCGATTGCTTCCGCATCCATTTTCTTCAAATCCTGAACAATTTATAGAACGGATATTACGCCACATTATATGCGAATCGTATGAATATAAGTTCTTCGAAAATGAATGCTTTTTATTCATACATAAATTTAAGTAATATTTATTATTTGTACAAACCTCCTCATCCAACTTCTGCAGTACTTTCTTTCCATGCATGGTTTGCGATATATGCGCAATACGTTCACGCAAGTGTCTCTCACGCATGGCTGCCATTTCGGATGCATGGCGACGTTTCTCACGTTCCTCTCTTTCCGCTTCCAAGCGACGAGCTTCGGCAGCAGCAGCAGCTCTCAGTTGTTCTTCTTGGCGACTGAAATTACACAGACATCTTATAACTAAGTATTTCCTGTAAGGTTATTGTTATAATTTACGCATGTAATCTAAATTCAAATTTGAAATTATAAAGGAAATCTTCAGTAAGAAATTTGCATACCTAAAACTTGTTACTTTACGCAAAATGAACTCTCAAATGCTTCACAATTAAAGAGAGATGAAAAGAGAATTTTAAAGATATAATACATTAAAATATTAGCCTACCGTAGTTCTTCTTCCTCGCGAACAGTGTTGAGTCGTTCTATATACTCCTTGCGCTCTTCGATGATCTTATGCCGCTGCAACACTCGGTGATGTTCGGCGTGCTTATTCTCATGGTAATGTTGCACCATGTTTAAGCGGGCTCGCTCGCGTTCGGCGCGACGTCTATCCGGGTAGAGTTCATGTACAGCTCGGGAGAGGACTTCAGCGGCACGAACAAGTTGCTCACGCATCTAAAGAACAAAATATATCATAAGTTTATTGGTAACATAGAGTCTGTATGGTAAGGAACATAGCATTGACTAGAAAAAGCTAAATTATTTCATAAGTGTATGTGTAATGTTACAATGTCTTGTACTGCTCTTTAGATTTAAATTCTGTTTTATCTTTTTATTTATTTAAAAAGGATACTGGACTGTTGCACTTTGCACAATAGAATATAATAAATGCTCTAAAACATAATATTCTTAATAATTATAGGGAAACCTTAACTATTAAGCTTGTAATATAACTCGTAATAATGAATCTAAGGCCAAATACCTGTTCAGCAGGAGTAGCCTGCAAAATGGCCCCGCCGCAAGCTTCATCAGCGGCAGAACACCATTCGCCACCGCCCGCTTCTTCACCGAAATGTACACATCTGTAAAAAGTATTTTATGTTTTATCATTGTCATCATTACAACCTATCAAAGTCCACTGCTGAATATAGGCCTCCCCATAGATTGCCTTAAAAGGTGATAATTCGCCATATTCCCACGCTTGGGTATTGGCCACACTCGGTCATATTTTGTAGTTTTTATCAGGGAGCCGCCGTTGCTCATCTCCTGGTTTTTATGAATGAAATTGGACACAAAATAAATATAAGAGAAAAAAAAATATTTAAAGGTACAATTAGCGACCTTATCGCTTAGAAGCAATCTATACAAGGCAACCACATTGCAGAGGATATAATAAGCTACGAGAAAAGGTATGGGTGTGCATAAGTTGTATATCGACATAAATATGATTATATACTGGATATACATAATATGCATATATTGACATACATAATGTAACAAATAAATACATTTCAATTACACACATACAAGGGCAGAAAGTTGTAAAATAATAATAAAGTATTATGGGATGGAATTTTAAAGATGAGGTTTTAATAAGAGAACAGTAAGTGTTACCAAGAAACTCAAATCGCTCTTTAAGGTAAGCAGGGGAAGTGGGATTGAATAAACCGCAGTATAAAAGAGTGAGAGTATTTCTGCGACAGATCGGAAGCCACATGAATTGTTCACAAAATTCAGAAACATGGACATTTTTTCGGAGTCTAAATGTAGTGATGTATGTAAATAAAAGTAGTTTGTGTCTGACTCGTTGCGGCGCGTTGAAGATGCCAGGTTCGGTATGCCTCCACATAAATATGACGCATACAAAGGTTCTGAATGCGCTCAAGTTTATTAAGCAACTCCTCATTTCATAGTACAGCATCACACCTGTAATCCCAGAGGGTGTAGGCAGAGTACGAAATCCAGTAATCTGTTTGGACCACATTTATATAGGTATAGATGGAAAGTTGTAAAAGAAGTAATATCCCATTAATCAATTTTTACAATACGCTATGTAAGTTACAAAATAGGCACATTCTAAGTCCCAGGCCAACATGGTACTATCCTATTAAAGAAAAATAAGCAGACTCACTGATTTGCGTGATCAATCCGTATCTGCATATCATTGTGGCGGACGCAATCAACGAGCAGACGCTCCAGATGGAACAGATCATCAGTATGCGCCAACTCCAGCAAACGTGAGAACTGGACACAGGAGTAGCACTGTGCCACTTGGCGTACTAGACGAACTAATGCTACGTCTGTCAATGCCACTGTGTATTGAGCCAAGGATGAGTCTGGAAAAGGAGATAAAGATTTTTTAGCTTAATGTAATGAATCAATGTACAATGAAAATCTTCATCTTCATGAGCCACTAACAGTTCACTGCCAGATATGGAAAAATTCTATGACTAGGCCTACATTACAGAATTTTCCATATGCATTTAAGGCAAACTATATGATATTTAACTACACAGACAGGCAGATTGACACTGCTCACATTCTGTCTTAACATTTTACATCTGGCTTCCACTAATGATAATACCACTTTATATAGGAGGCAATGACATTTCTATGGCATTTCCCAAATGCACCTCTTATGACAACAAGGGATGAAATGGAGTGGTGGGTTCAGTTAGGCTGTTAACATATGGCAGTAAAATGAAAATTAAAGTATTATGCGAGAAGTTAAAACTATGTTTAATATTCATTAAAAGTACTTTAGTAGTACAAAAAGACTACGAATAAATTTGAAATGAATTGCACTCACTAGGATCTTCTTGTAGCATTTTAATGACGCTCTGCACATTGGCGCAAATGGTAAGAGGATCAAATTCAACCTCTAGCCAAGAGTACAGCTGCTGAAGTTGAGGAGACGCCAGATTCACCACATTCAAACGGATCACATCTGAAACATTGGATTATTTTAATAATTCTTAAATAAGGCTAGATAGATTAGATATAGAATGTAAGAAATCTTTCAGGAGTTCATAAATTTTTTTTTTATTAAAAAATAAGTTACATGTGCAAGTGTAAATTAACACAGACAGCCCAGTAATAAGCCACCTGTCGCGTCTAACTTCCCATTTAATTTACCTCTGAGGCCTACCACTTACTGACTATGTTAGTCAGAAATGGGATTTAATTCAGAGGCACTAGACAGAAAACACATTTCACTGATATAACAGGAAATAACATAATAATAAAAAAAATATCATTTCTATTGACTCTTTTTTTAAGGATATAAATAGGTATCACAAAGTTTTTATTAGTCTTTGATAAGTGACTGAACTGGTCATAAAGTACTATAGAAAGTCTTAAGTGTTTCATTTATTAGACATTTTGGATAGAATAAAAAATAATATGTAACAATTCACAAAGTTAAAATAGGGAATACCAAAATTTCAAATTGTAATACAGTGATTATTAAACCTCTTTTGTATTCTCATAATAAAAGTAGAATGATTACAAGTGCATCACTTACCTTTCAATAAGTTAGCTCTAGTTGGTGGCTGGGCTAGTCCAAGTAACACAGCTAGCCTTTGAGCTTTTTCAACTGGACTCTTGTCAGTTTCCACAAAGCGGTCAAATTCCGGATGTAGGGATGGTAAGGGCACTGAAAGTACCGCCACTAGGACTCGACATGCCATTCTGTTTGTAAAAACGATTGAGAAAAATTATATTTAAACGGAAATATGAAATTGAAAAGAAACAGTTTATTGCTAATGTTCTATCATTGGAATTTATTTATTTTTGTAAACATCTTTAAATATTTATTAACCTTTAAGATTATCTATACATATATAATCGGAATCTGGGAAACGGCTCCAACGATTTTCATAAAGTTTATTGTCCAGGGGGTTCGGGGGCAATAAATCGATCTAGCTAGGAAATATTTTTAGAAAATGTCGTTTTATCTGAGTTTTCAGGCAATGAAAAACTGCTACAATATCATTAGAATAAGAAAGTAAACTTTGGCAATATGTTAATGATTATAAATAGCTCAAATGGGATATCGGGCTGTCTCGAAATCATAGTAACCTGGTTCGAGTCCTGTCTTCGGTCTGACATTTTTTCCTTTTTTTTTCAAGTTCCTTTCTTTTGAGAGAAAATCTATTATTTCGAGCCATTTTTTAAGTATTTTTCTAAAAATACGAAAATTTTAATTAAACTAATTGCACTCATTATTTTTTTTATTCAAATAACCAGTTCAGTTTTTTCTATTATGTCGGTAAGTTAAAAAAAATATTATTCATATTTCATCAGTATGTAATTTGTATCTAAATATAATTTCCAAAACACATGATTTCCAAAAAAAAAAAAAAAAAAAGACCGCGCAGAGCTCAGTCATCCAGGTACTAGGTAAAATAAATCACCAATGAAATTGTTAATTAAAATTTCAGTGCTGATATACCACACCCTTGGTGGTGAAGGTGAACATTGTGAGGAAACCAGTATGTTTGCGAAATTTAAAAAAAAAAGTGAAATCTATCGACAAGCATTGAAACAGTGCTGCAGAAATGCCTTGCCCTAAATGCCTCTCAGAAATCAGAGAAAGCCTGTGTCTGCAGAGGGACATATAAAGGTTTTAACTTTATATTTTAAAAGATTGCAAGCAAGAGGCAAGAGCTTACAAACTTATTATGTATATTAGGTAGGTCTTAAAAAATTATTTACATAATATGGAATTACATAACTATAACTAACGATATTTGTGCAGGCATAAATTAACACAAGCAATAAAAGCAAATATTGCCTGTCGCGTCAAGCCTCCATTATACTTTGCCTCCAAGGCCTACCACCGCAAAACCATATAAGTTAAGGATGGGATTTATTTTGGAGGCATCACTGTAAAATATTTAAGTAACAGTGAAACTCAAATAACTGGTATTTCAAGAGAACAGTAATTTAAGTTCAATAAAACATCTAGTAAAATGTATCTGATTAACTGAAGTTTACCAAATATATAGGGGCAAAGTTTTTCTATAAACTAAAAATTCCACTAATAAAAAGGTGGAATAGAGAACTCATTTTAGTAACGCAAAGTAAATATACTTCATTTAATATTAATAATATATTATACATTAAATAATAATAATTTATAAATTTAATTGTAATATTTTATTATCTGGCTTAAACTTAAAACTCACTTCTGTAATTCCTCTTGTGTTATGTTCTTTTTCATTTCCCTCGAAAGTTGGAATAGCTTCAGAAGGGCAGCTGCATGGAATAAACAGTGACCAGCCTTCCAAAACACTAAGGCCAGCTTGCCATAGTAGTTGGCCATAGTTTTAGCTACTGGAGTCTTTTTGGACATGTTCATGAGATTGTGGATATCTTCTATGGCTTTGTATGCTTCCTGTTGTGATAAGAATAGTTATTGGTATAAAAACAAAAATTAGTAACTACTATTAAATAGTACTCTACCTTAAGAATAAGATGATATTTTATTATAAATAAATTTCCCTATAAATTTTTCTTTTATATAAAATTATTATTATTGAATTAAAACAAATATTTAAACAATTCCATAAATATAAGTTCAAATAATCAAAGTATAACATCTCACCAATTTAGAAATGAAACATTTTTATTCAATATAGATTAAGATTATAAATAATACTTATTGAAAGTCACTTGTTAGTTTAGTTTAACACTGGTTCAGAAAATACCTCTTTCCTGAGAAGAACCAGCCACAAACCCAGTGGCATTTTTTTTGAAAAAAGATTACTTTACCAATCATTTAAGTTACGTGATAATTACACAAAACAAATTAACAGCTTGCTAGCAATTGCTTCATGTTATATTCCATTATTTATACAATTTTTGTTTAATAAATTTTTTAAATTATTTATATTACTAATTTTAACTATATATTACTCATGAGCTGGGAGAAATAGTACACCCTCAAATAAAAATTGCTATTACAATATTTGTAAATAATTATTACAATTATCATTCCAACCTTAATAGACATAAAATTATCACAAACCTGCCACAACTCCATTTGAATAGCACTATCAAGCTGGAACAGCCTGGTCTCCAAGTTCAATTGTTGGGTCTCTGGCTTTGTGATACTTACATTGCCAGTTTGAACCTACAATGAAAAGAGTAATGTTCAGCATGATACATTTTAAAACAAATTTATTACTTAAATTTTTCTAAGGTTTCATATACACAACTTACAGTGAGAGAGTTTTAAGACTAATTTAATTTTAACACAACTATTCTGTAGTACTCACAGTTGTTTTACAGATATCATCAAGATGCTTTCGTAATTTGTCACAAAGCTTTCTGAATTCAGTTTTGCGTGAATATTTGAGGCAGAACTGGAATGCCATTCGGGCTATGTCATGATATAAAGTTTCCACATGTGCATTGGTACGAAGCAACTCCAGGCATTGACAGTATGACTCCCATAGAAATTTGACCTGAAGCATATAAAATGAAAATAAATTTCTGAAATTATAATTTTAGATGGATGAATTTATAGTTCAGAATTTACCCATGGTGTAAGTATAGTTCGATCTGAACGATCTTGTGCATCTTCTCCAGACACAGCACTAAGCAAAATACTTTCAGGTGTAGCCAAATTGTCAAGGTCATCAGTTTCAATAACTGCCTGTGTAGATTGAGCTCTGGCTGCTTCTGTACGCTCTTCAGCCATACGTAGGTAACCTCTATAAAATGACAAATTTATAATTTGGACAGCCGACATAAAGAGTTAAATTATTTTCTAACATACATGAGCCCTGTCAATCAAGCTTTAAATTTAATTGAGCATAAAAATGAAAAGAAAGTAGTAGAGATGTATTTTTTAGACTACCAGATTTTTAATGACATTATTTAAAATTGTTAAGAGTGATTCAAATTTTAGATTTATAATCTAAATTATTTAAGCACACTCATGTCATTAGAAAAATTGTTTTATTTATATTATATTAAGACTCAAGTGTTTTTATCCTTATGGATGAGGTTTAGGGTTGGCTATATTATATATTTAGTTTAGGAGGCTTGTCAGGGTTAAGCTCAAACCTTTTACACTGTTTTTGGATTTCGAAAATGAGTTCGAATTAATTATAATTTGGCAGGAATTTGGGGGAGTAAGATATCTTATTTGGTAGAGGTTTAGTCCCCGATTATAATACTACTCACATTAAAAGGTAATGCACCATTCGTGAGAAAAATCAAAAAGAAAATCCCATAGAACTAACCTCAAAATGATAACTCAAAATAAATTAAGGGGTGGGAGGTGTGGAGAGGGAGGCGGGAGAGTTGTAGAGTCGCCCCCACTTTCACATCCTGCTGGACATGCTTAGTTTTTTTCTTACAAATTTTTAAATATCTAATTTTGAGGTTATGTTTTTGACTATAAACCAAATTCATGGGGGGAGAGATGGGGGAGGGAAGTACCACATATCGCAGTCGAGGAAAGCCCGGTCGACGTAACCCCGCTTCGCGGGGCTCCTACTTCTCAGTGGTTTACAAAAAAATAACCACGAAGGTAATGGCGGGGTCTATTCGCTTGCTTCGCTCGCTCACTCGACCCCACCATCCCCTTCTAACCTAACCTGTTCTAGTCCGGGTGCCCTAAGTCCCGAGCTCGCTTTCTCGCTTTTGCACTCAACAAAACACCAAAATATTAGCTTTTATAATTACTTTAAATTATAAACATAAAATATAATACAATAATAAGCACACTACAGTTCGCACAGGTGTCTGCGATTTGCTACGACGGGCGGGGGCTGCTCTCCCTCCGCGCCTACGGCTTTAAAAAACACTATAGCACAGATCAGATATCTATAAAGTCAGGTTGCCTTTGCTTCCCGCCACAGCCACAAAATTCTGTATGCTATCCAGCTTTCACAGTAATATCGTATAGTTTTTTTCTCAGAAGGGCTAGAACCCGGAGCCGTGAAGTCAATTAATAATAAAAACTGTATCATTTTCCATACTTAACGCTTTTTAGGTTATAACAATTCTTATTTATTTGTTCGATAATGGTGCATTACCTTTTAATGTGAGTAGTATTATTATAATCGGGGACCAAACCCCTACCAAATAAATCATACTACCCCGAATTCCTGCTAAACGATTCCAACCCAGAATTGCTTATAATGAAACGCAAATATGTCAATTTGGTCTAGTATTATGAAGTTATATCATCGTGACGTGGTAGAGCCATGCTGCAGTTATATTAGTACGGTAGAGCCATGCTGCTGTTATATTAGTACAGTAGAGCGTCGATTATCCGAATTAATTGGGCGACATAGGTGTTCGGAAAACCGGTTTGTTCGGATAATCGAACTGTATTATGAGGTGTGAGGGGGAGGGGGGCGGGAGGGGGGGGAGATGTAATACCCCCCCTTAAAAGGAAAAGTTGCGGAACCCCTCCCCCTCTTTTCGAGTTTTTTCTTTTTTAATTCTGAGAAAATTTTCCTCATTTTATGGATTAATATTAAGTGTAAAAAACCAGGAAGACACCTTGGGGGGGGCTTGGCTGAAGCTGCGGAGGCGAGGATGTCCGTAGGGGGGTTCCCCGCTACGGACATCCTCGCCTCCGCAGCTTTAGCTTGTTGGTCGCCTTTGGCGACCAGCCTCAGCCGCTCTGGCTCGTCCGATGCCTACGATTTGTTACAGCAGGCGTAGGCTGCTCTCCCTACGCGCCTCCGACTCTATAATAACACTCTAGGGGTAGGACAGACTCATACCAAGTGGAGTCGGGGTCAACCATTCAGTTATTCGACATAAGTTAAACCTAACCTATTTTATTTGTTAATTGCCCTAGTAGGTACTTTTAAAATAAAAAAAATTAAATAAAATTCATAATATATTAATCAATTTTATATACATATTGTATTGCTTTAATTAATTCTTCGAAAACGTCTTTATATGCTATTTTTATTTTTCTTTGCCAAGAATATTCAATTAGCCAGTCTGTAAAGTTTGCTTTATAATTTCTCTACCGAACATCACTTTTAAATTTCGCCAGTGGCTTTCTATTCGTTCTGTGTGTGTCCCATCTGGTGCCACAAATTTATTTATAGGGTTGCTGTGATTAACCTTCTTATGTATATATCAATATTGAGGTAGGTCGTCCAAAAATCGGTATGGATTTCAGTGCCTACTTCCACATGCTTTTGTATTAGTGGCACCAATATTTCAGCAGATCTATCATTATCGGGACACACTTCTAATCTCAAATCATCTTTCCTCATCTTTCCCATTTTCTATCATGCCCAGCACCCAATGGCCTTCAATGTGTCTCCCTCTGTTGTACTTTCGTTTTCCAAATTTTGATTCGTCTATTTGCACGATTTTGCCTAGACCACCAATCTTGCCATTATCTTCTTGGAGCTCCAATTCATAAACAGCTACTGTCTCTCGGCAGTAAGAAAACCAGTCAGTTATTGTCTTTGTTGATAAAATTATTTCTTTATCTTCACGGGCTGTCTCTAATTTAACTTGATGATAATTATATTTTTGGTTGAACATATACATCTGTAAAAATTGTAACTCGATGGACAGCCGCGCATTATCGAACCATGTTCCCGCTGCCCGACTTACTGCCTTAGAGCGACAGTTACACTTCCTGCATCGAAATATGCCAAGCTGACCAGTCTTACTGCTGGAGCTTAACGCCATAGGTCTCCTATGATATGAGCACATTTTTTCTGTAGGAAGGAGCCTATGCTCTTCAGCAAATGCAATGCACCGAGCTGGGTTATGATTTCATACATATTCCAGTGGCACCTAAAACAATCAAAAATATTCCTATTAGAAATCTAATTACTGCTTTACTCATCAGCTTTTTCTGTGAAGTTTACATATGTGGCTATATAAGAAACCACAGTGAACCAACCTTATTTCCTCGGCATAGTAGTGGACTCTTCGGCCAGACGAACCAGGAGCTCGAGGTTCCGCATCAGCCACGCTGCTTTCAGACGACGTTGGAGACGCAGGCGGCAGTACCGGCACGGTACTGGGAACAGTGGCGCAGGAACTACTAGCTATTGGTTTCGATAGCACAGTCATGGGCACAAGTGGCTCACTAGAGTCCAACACTTGCACACACGGGGAGCCTGCAGAAGAGCTCGCAACAAGTGGCTCACTAGAGTCTAACACTTGCACTACACTGGATGCTTCAGACGGCACAGCAGAACACGAAACTTGGGGCTTCGGAGACGCCATGGTGGTAGTCAAACATTGTTTTCACCGACAGGAACAGTACGTAAAAGATCTCAACTGCTAGGGACACAAACAATGACTGAGGATGACACTGACAACACAAAATAGCGTCAGTTTTACGTTTCGTTCCACAAGCCGGGAAAAGACTGTAAACACTGCATATTTTAATTTTAATGAAAATAATTCTGTTATTTAAATATAAACCGTTAAATATATGTGCATGCATGAAAACTATTAAAATGAATACAAAATATAATTATTTACGTAAATTTATATAAAATGAAATGTGACCGAACATATGACAAGTTAACCATACTTTAAACGGAACATTCAATGGCATGTTATATCTGTAATATGATATAATCTATGGTAGGAATTGACTTAAATATTAATAATAAATATTTTTTTTCTCACAAAACTACGCGTTTCCACATGTTGAAACCTTGCGTGGTAATAATACAAAAATATCAACCCCCAACTCGACGGATGTCAATTGAAAGCTTAGCCTAAGCAATTTTTAGTGAAATGTGTTTTTATCATAATTAATTCAAAATGTTTTTTCAACATCCAAAAACGGTGTAAAAGGTTCAAGCTTAACCCTGACAAGCCTCCTAAACTGAAAACATAATTAAAATCAAGTACCGGATATCTATAGCCAACCCATGGATGATGTACTAACAATAGCACTTTTTAAAACACAAATCAAAACCACACTTAAAAATGATATATGATTTTTGTTATTGTGCAATATGTAAATTATATTGCTTATTAGGATTTTATTTTATTTTAAGTACTTTAAATACAATAAATCAAATACAAACCTTATAACTTGTTCCAAAGATCCTACATTTACGGACTGAAACATGTTTCTATATTGAAACAACCCTTCTTTTGCAATATGAGACTTCCGGAGGTCAACACAAAGTTCTAGGTATTTGAACATAATCGGTTCCAACACCGATTCGGACCAGTTGTACGCCCATTTTTTATTTCTGAATACTTCTTGCAGAGTATCTAATGCCCTAGCTGGTTTGTCCAAGTCCATGAACTCTGCAGGAAGAAGACACATTGGTTTATTTTGTTTATACAGTTACAAATCAACTACAATATCAAATTAACAAAACACTAATGTTAATAAAGGATAACATTTTTCTAAAGAATAACAGCAGTGAATATCATGCAATAAGGCATTAACGTAACATGCAACGTGGTATGAATTGAAGAAACTTTAAACGAACCATTAGCCCGTTTAAGGGCATTTTCCGGTCTTTGACCGTAACGCGCCATCATTTATGTTGCAATTTTCACTTCATTAACGTAAATCCAGATGCCATAAAATTCGTGGTGAAGAATCCACAAGAATCAGAATTTACCACCTTAGCACATAACCACCTATCTGACAAAGTGACAAGGAAAAGGAACAACCAGTCAAAATGGCGTCATTCATAGAGTTGTTGCAGTTAGATTCGCTAATTAAGGCAGGCAACGGTTTACACCATACAGCCAAGTTTGATATGTATTTTATTCACTAAATTCTTCACAATATTGACCCAGCGGCAGTGGATGGACAATGACAGTACTTCAAAGCCTCAAACTCAAACCGCTCAAGCGAATAAAAACCATCTAATTCATATCACCATGAGAGCACTTGTTCATAGTTTCCATTGTAACTGAACAAGAACGGGGTCTTTCTGAATCGGTGATCCTTCATTCAACTGCTAAGGACCCTTGAACATAATCGTAGCCATTGTATAGCCCGTTCACCGTAAGATGTCCCCTGCTGTGATGGTGGCACTATTGCTTGTCAATCTGTTGTCAGTTTGTGATTATAACGCTCGTTTTTGTGTTATTTAAAATATTCCGAATTAATTATGCCGAAACCATTTAGAAGCAGTGCAAGATGGTTGTGTTGAAGTGCGTGCCTTTTGTGAGAGAGAAAAGGCAAACCAAGCCCCGTTAATTCCACTCAATCAAGTGCGAACTCGCGTCGCCGCCATGACAGCTAGTAAAATAGGAATGCCAGCTTCATGCAAAATGCCTTTAGTATGGTAATAATAAGAAATTACTAACATTACGAATTAAAATAAAAAAGTACGTATCTCAGTTAATTTAATTTATTTTTTATGATAATGTCTGTATTGGTATTTTATAAATATTTAATTTTATAAAATGAAACAAATTTGGTGTCTATTTCAGGCATGTCGGAGAAAACCGTGAGTAGAATATCTAAAGAAGGTGAAGCTGCTGCCTCTACATCTCAAAAACTCAAGTCTCCTGGAAAACACCGTCAAAGACGTAAAACAATAAGAAACAAAATCCATGAAATGTATACTGTAAGAAAAGTTGTTCCTACTTTAAATAAATTACTTGTAGAATTAAAGAATGACATAAACTTTGGTGGAGGTCGAACGACTTTGTGGAAAATTTTAAAACAAATTGGATTTCAGTATAAAAAGTGTGGTTCGAAACGGAAAATTTTAATGGAAAGGCACGACATAGTTGCATGGAGACGCAAGTATATCGTTACTATGAGGCAAAATCGAGCAGATGGTCGGCGAATAGTTTTCTTAGATGAAACATACATTTACGCATAGTATGCAGTGAAAAAATGTTGGCAAGAAGATGACGAGGACGGAGTACTAGTAAGTGATTCTGTTGAAACGCAGTGGATAATTATTAATGCAGGTGGAGAAATAGGGTTTATTCCTAATGCTCAATTGATTTTTAAATCACAGAGTAAATCAGGGGACTACCATGACGACATGAACAGAACCAATTTTATAAAATGGCTTTCAGAGAAACTTATACCCAATTTGCCTCCGATCTCCTTAGTCGTGATGGATATCATACCGTACAAGTAAATAAAGCACCTACTATGAGTTCCTCAAAACTTCAAATGCAAAATTGGATAACAAATAAGGGATTGTCTTATATACCAACAATTCTGAAAGCAGAACTTTATGAAATTATTAAAAGAGCACAAAGAAGCGCCGATTTATGAGGATGACCAATTATTGCTTTCTCGTGGCCATAAAGTGGTTAGGTTGTCCCCTTACCACTGCGATTTAAATGCGATTGAGTTTATGTGGAGTCTTTTAAAGAGACGAGTAGCCAGCAATAATGTCGGCCAAGAAGCTGGGAATATTGTGAAGTTAACTGAAGAAGCTTTTTCATCTATAACCCCTCAGGATTGGCAAAAGCAGTGTGAACACGTAAAAAATTTAGAAGACAAGTTTTATGTACTTGATGGCTGTATGGATGATATTACTGATAAATTCATAATTGAATTATGAAATGACAGCAGCACAGATTCAGATACGACAGATGATGATGACGATGTTTATGAAAGTGACAGTGATACGAGTATGTCTGGAATTGTTCCTTTCGACCATAATTATTGTCGGAAAAAATAAATCAGTAAATAATTTAAAAATTAAATTGTGTTATCATTCACAACCTACTAGTCTTATAACTAACTGTATATTATTTAAATAAGCAAGTAAAACATATTAATCAGGGGTTTTCAAGTTTAGATAATTTTGCCAGCAACCACCAAGTGGGCTAAATATTCAATATATTGTTGGCAGCACCGTAGACAATGCTGTCATTTCCATGGCAGGGGACATCTTACGGTGAACGGGCTATAGTAATCCGGTGAGTCTTCCAGTTCCTAACTCGTCGATCAACGTACGTTACGTAATTTACAACTTAATCAATGTGGTTGTATACCTTAAAATCCTAAATATAAAACTTTATTATGACTTAAAATGCTAAATATAGTTTTATTTACGCTGGTCTTATCATTACTTTTATTCATCTTAAATAATTTAACGATTTAATGCAGAAAATAGAATCTTAATAACATCTTCAAGCAAAGTTTTAAGCAAAATTGTTTATATCATATGACATTTGATTGATAAGAGATTCTCATCCTCTCACTCTAACAATATAACCAACCTTGTCTTTCTTAAAAGCGATGGAGTGCTGCATCAACATATTATAATAAATAATATGTTTTTGAATTATTTTTAATGTTATAATAAAAATTCTTTTTTACTGTTTAATCTTTCACATCGCGTTCTGTAATCGATTATTACGTAACAAATGAATTTAAATTAAATGAAAAACCGTTTATATCTCTGTATAATCATTCATCATTTGCACATTCAAACACTTTCTTAAGGTTCAGGGATTAGCCTTTCTACATAAAAATAATCAGTTAATATCAATTTAGGCTTGCGACGCTAACATTCTCCAGACCGTACGACAGTAGCATTATAAGGGAAGCGTCGTAGGTACCAGGACTATTAAACGGGATATAGGCTTCCTCGGAATGCTTGTCTTTGTAATGACATCCACAATCCTGTGGCCATTCTTTTGCTGGCAACGTCCTATGAACTTTAGCTCTCGGCCATGTATTGCGTGGCAACGAATGATCTACGATCAAAACAATATCGCTTACCATAGGCTCTAAGAATTTACTACTATCGCCTGTACGAGGTATCAACGTAGGTATATATTCCTTTAGCCATCTTGACCTAAAATGGTCCACTAATCTCTGAGACTCTTTCCAATTCAGCTGACCGGTTAAATGTATAACCATGAACAAACCAGGTGGACTATCTTCACAAGAGCGTCCTAAAAGGAAATAGTTTGGTGTTAAGCCCTCCTGCAGGCTATCCATATTAACCGAAACCAATGGTCGCGAATTGACTGTGTGCTCCGCCTCTAAGAGCAACGTGTCTAAAATTTCTTCTTTATATTATTATTATTATTTATAGGACTCTTCTCCCTAAGTGTTGCAATTAACCTCTCAAACACCAAGCGGCCAAATTTGACCGCTTCGATATTCCGTCAAAATTCAAGCGGTCAAATATAACCACACCCAACCACAGCACTTTAACCCATAAAAACTTATGTACTCGTATAGAGACTACTTTTCTGTGAAGAAGTTTGGTATTATATAATCAAATATGAAATACTCTATCCTCTGGTGCAATAAAAATACTGTTATCCTATGAAGATTTATTTATAATCTACGTTCATTTCTTACGCCATTTTCGCGTGAATGTTGTTGTGTTGATTTTTGGATTTTTCTAGTGTTTTATTAGTGTTTTACTAGTGTATATAAAGTTTTTGTGTGAATATAATTTATCTTTTTACGTAAATAATTTCGAGTAATACATATTGAAATAATTATGATTTTTACGCTGCCGAGATACGCTTGATATGTTTTTTTTTTTGTTATCGAAATAAGTACAATAAAATCTAGATAGAGAATTTTGTATAGATTTTATAATGCCAAACTTCAAAAAAAAGACAACAAAAAGTAGTCTCTAAATTTATATTTAGAGACTACTCACTGTCACTTAACTTTTTAACGTTTTAATGGTTTTAAGTGATGTGGGTGGGTGCGGTCGCATGCGACCGCTCGGGATTTGCCGGGCGCATGCGACTGCATAGGATTTTTATGGGGATTGAAGGGTTAAAGCAGTCTTAATTGACCTTATTAATCTTCCCCTCCCATATGAGGTGCTCCAGGTGGTATGAAGTTCGAGTTTATGTATTTCTTTTATTAATTCAAAAGGTAAGAAAAGCTGTAAAAAACAATATGAAAAATTATTTCCCATGTGTAAAATACTCCCTGTTGATACTAATTGAACATTACTATATTGATGACTATAAAGTACCTATTATTAACACCTACAACACGCGTAAGGTAAGGGAAAAAAAACTTGAAGAGCCTAGTGCAAATAACTATTATGGACAGCGCTTGAATAAGTACATTGTAACCAGAATCTATAACAAAGTAACATGGTTAAGAGAAACGCCTCCAAATAAAAATAAAAATAAATTAAGCAAAAACTTATTAAAATCCTCTCTGAAAATGACATTATTAACCGAGCTATAACACATAAGTACATTGTTGCATACTTTTGTTAATCGTTTTTTATGTTTGATTTATTTGATTTGTTTATTGCTGTTGTTGTTTATTTTTTAATTTAATAATTTCTAAATATTGCGAAATTGTAGTAGGTAAATATAAGGTAAGGTTATATTTTCTTTTTGTATTTTTTTTTTGTAATTAATTGTGTTTTTGTATGCGATGGTGCATAATGATATATAGTTTAAGAGCGTGTACTCGCCGACAAACTGATTGTAGTTTGGTGACAGAATAATAAAAATAATGTACTTACCTTTGTATGAATAAAAAAATTAAATAAAAAAATGAATATTATAAAACATTCATTTTTCATGCTATTGTAACACTTCACGCACGCCTGTGTTAATTCTTTGTTTGCAGCTTTGAAATTTGTTCCATTATCGCTGCAAATGACGGAAGGTTTTCCTCTTCTGACGATAAATCATCTTAATGACATTATCAGTGACGATGGTGTCAATAACGCTGCTAATCCCAGATGCACTGCTCTGGTAGTCAGACAAGTGAATAGAACTCCCCACCGTTTCTCATGTCTCCTTCCCACGGATACATTCAAGGGGCCGAAATAATCTGTGGCTGATCATGTGAACGGTGACTCATTATGAGCTATTCTTTCTAAAGGAAGATTGCCTTGCGGCACAGTCTGTGGCCTAGATTTAAAGGTCTTACACCATAGACAGTTGTGTGTAACATTACGAACTGTCGTAAATTTAAATAAAACTGCACCACAACCGTTTATGATAGACCAAAAAGAATCCTTTCCCCCAAAGGAAAAATTGGACTTGAATGGTAAACGACCACTTAATCGAAGGAGGTTATCTTCTATTTCCAAAGCTAATTTGCTTAAACGTGAATGCTTTTCAACTTTTTTCCCGTCTTTAAACAGCGTATTTCCGAATGAAAACATTCATCTTGAACGAATTACCAAATAAGAATTTCAGCCTTCTTTAAAAGAGCTATTTCCAAAACATCGTCGGGTCCTTTAACCAACTTGGTTGAAATATCTTTAAAACACAGAATTAAACTTTCCGAATCGGATAATTTGTGGAAATTAAAAACTTGAATTTTTCTATAGCTTAGCTCTAAGAAATCTTTCGAAACTACTGAATCGTCCGTAGTCGGGTAAACTCCACGACTCTTTTCTTATTAGCGTATTTACGCTTTTCAGCGATTTTTCTTCACCCGTTTCTATATATTCTTTCATGTCTACTTGTGTAGGCCATAAATCTGGACAGCCTGAGGAAATCTGTTAAAACCAACGATGAGACTTTTTTTCAACTCTGCATTTTTATCGAGCTTCTTCTCGATATTGAACAAGCGAATTTCAGCTTGCGCTCTATTCGACGGCATAACTTCATTATCCGACCACCATAACAGGCCCGCTTCGAACCTGTTATCCTGTAAGCGACGCACTGTGGTTTTCAAAACGTTTAATGCTCGTTCCTCTGGGTCGTTGACCGACTTACGCGCGGCTATAACTAACGACTCGAGATCGAAATGATTTTTAATAAATTTTTCCATTTCGTGTTCCTTTTTGGTGAAAATACGGTTAACAATCTTCACCGGCTTAATGCGACCTGTAATGTGGCCATGCAAAACCCAACCAAGTTTGGTGAGTGAAGGATAGGAAGATTTCTATCTCCTGAAATGAATTCACTAGTAACTATAAGATGCCAATTATTCTGACCAATTAATATGGTAGGTTTGGACCTTTCATAATATAGCTGCTTGCCCCCGTCGCCCTCTAACGGCAACGCTTCCTTCTCGGGGCTTCTGTGTAGAAGCTTATGGTGTGCCATACGACAACCATCTACACCGCACTTTTTAGCTTTACATTTTGCCCACCTATGATAGGGTGACAAGCATTGAAAGTATATATTGGCCTTCTTCACCGCTTCCCATTTATCGCGGTTATCCATATTTTTAAACTTATAGCGACCCTCTACAAAGTGCTCTTTATCACATATAACACACTTTCGTGTTATTTTATTTTTAGGCTTTTCTTGCGTAGCCATAACCTTCTGTCGGTTACGCTTTCCTTTTTTATTACGCTCGTTGCGTTCGTTGCGCTTACCCATGGCGCAGTGGCGCGTAGACTCCTTCGCGGCGTGCATGGTTCGAGTTTTAATTTCGGGACGCATCCTTTTTTCGAACTTATGTTCTGCATTGAACGATGCACCGAACTGTTCACTTAATAAATTAAAAAAATTAGCCATTCTTTGTAGCTCTGGCTCCGTAGGAAATTGTGTTCAATATTCGAACCACTTGAATTTAATTACAATGCCAAGCTTATCCACTAAACGACTCACTAACTCCGGTGAGTATAAATATTGTGGTTGTTTTAACGCACGTATTGACGCAACAATATTCAAAACTTTGCTAGCAAAGGCCGATGTTTCTGCCATCCTCCACTAACTTTGACATTTTCTTTACCTTTTTGATTTCGCATAGAATGAACATTTGAACTCTACCGAATCTCCTTTCTAATGCACTTATTATTTCATCGGGCTCACATACCGTAAATAATAATGAGCTTACCGCTTACTTGGCGGCTCCTCTTAAGGTCCTCCTAAGGCGAGCCACGTTTTGCACCCCTGAAAAGTATTCACGCGTCTCTTCGAATATCGTCTTGAATAAAGTCCATTCCCTTGCATCTCCATCGAAGACCGGAAGTTCGTGGAGAAAATGAGGCGTGGAAATCTTGTCTTTTCCCGCCATTTTAATTGCACTCACAATCGCGTCGGTCTGGTGGTCGGTTATTGACACTTCACTCGCGTGTGGTTTTGACGTTAAGTCGCACTCGATCCCCGCTTCTGAACGGCGTGATTCCTAAGACGCTTCCTTGTCAGCCATTTCTAGCTTTACCTCACCAACCAATGTTGAACCCAACTTCTTACAAATGGTTCCACTTGTGCAATATGCTCCTCATCATCTTTGCTCGAGTCGATTCTTCCCGATTGAGGCGTGCTAGTTTTAACTGTGACTTAGCTAGCGCTGCTGCCGCTTCCACTCGATCGAGCTCTGAGCGTTCGAATTTAATTCGTGCTTCTAATTCTCAGCCGGGCCGATCGTGATGACCTACTGCCGTTCTTCGATCAGTTCCCTGACTGGTCGTCTGCACCTGTCTTCTTTGATGCCGCTTCCTTGGTCCCTACCGTACCTTGGTTTCTTGACCGTAGCTTTCGGCTATCACTTCACCTTTTGTCACGATGCACTTCTGCGTGACGTTAGACCGCGTACCACTCACTTCCGTTCTGCTGCTCGTAGCTGTTGCAGACGTTCCTGTATCCCACGTATTAGTGGATGTTTCCGTGGCAGGCCCATTCGACGTTGTGGCTGTGTTCGCTCCTGATGATTCTGCCTCTTTGGCCTTTCTTGACACCCCTATTCTAGTCCTGGTGCCATCGACCTTATCAGTTTGTTCCTGTGCCTTCTTCATAGCGCACAAGAAAACCGTTAGCGTGCCCTAATTCCTACTTCCCTAACACAATATCCTATCACTCCCTAAAGTTCCCTAACAATCTTGGGACTAAGCCTAACGCTGTGAACCGCCCAAGGATGGAGATCGTGCAGAAAAGGAAAGGTTTGTACTGCCTGTCAGTGAACGTACGCTTCACAGGTTGCTCAGGGTACGGGAGGAAAGTTCGACCCCTCGGCGTGCCTACTCACAGGCCCTCCTACACGCACGACGTAACGGCGCAGCCGAGTTATTCTGAGGCAGACCCGCTCGTTAGTCTGCACCACCTCGAAAGGCGTCCAGCTCAAGCCCCAACTTTGGCACCGTTAGGTGTCGGTGCTTGGTATGCTGATGTCCGTTGCCGATGACGCCTGCCTAGGCGCTCTCTCTCCCGGCTGCAACAACAGATCTTGTACTCCTGGCAGCAATGAGTGCTTTCACAGAGTACTCTCGGCAGCAATCTCGGTTCTTCTATCTCCTGGCAGCTACAGTTCCAATTCGTTCTTCAGCGCCGTTACAACAGGCCCTTTATATTGACCTGAGACTTGGCTCCGACCAACCAAACTTGAAACGGTGTCGGGCCTTCTTTCTTCAAGCTCCGAAACGCCACAAGAGGAAACGACGTTCGGGGCCCTTCTGCGGCGCCAAAAGGAAAATGGCGTTCAGGCATCTTTCTCATTCGAAGCACCAAAAGGAATGGAGCTCAGGCGTCGTCTTCCTAAACACCAGAAGTAATGTGGTGCTCGGGCGTTTTCTTTCGAAACGTTGAACAATGGAATGACTTTCGGGCGTCTTTCTCTTGACTTGAAGTCCAGGACAGATGTCTTTTCAACAGCTACTTCTTGTGGCTGTGAATGACCCTTAAGCAATATCTTCTTTTCTTCTTAAACACTGGTTCTTCTTAACGCTGGTTCTTTATTCGGCTCTGAAGGACCATTGAACAAGAACGGGGTGTTTCTGAATCGGTGATCCTTCATTCGACTTCTAAGGATCCTTGAACAAAATCGTAGCCACTGTAGTAATCTGACGAGTCTTCCAGTTCCTAAATCGTCGATCTAACCCCATGCCTAAGTCACACTACGTTGGGTTCGAATCAACGCAATGGGTGTTTCCTTCGATAACGTCTGTTTGAGAAACACAAACGCCTTGTCTCAAAAATGTGGATGATGCCTGAGATTACGGGTCCCACGTTTGGTCCCGGTCTAGACACCAAATATGTGTAATAACTTCACTTTCCCTAACTTATAGGGTTGACACTGGAAATAAAACAGTAATTGTTCTTGAAAGGCTTGAGAAATGTGATAACTTTCACTATAAGGTAACTGTAGCTTGTATTGAACCGTTGTGGAGATATCAAAGTTGAACTTGAGCTGATGAGATCGAACTGAACCGTTGGAGTCGAACTTGAGCTGGTGAGATCGAACCGGAGAAATCGAACTTGAGCTAGTGAGATCGAACAACTTGCGAGCTATATGATGTCTTCTGCGTGGGGTTTTCTACCCAGCAGGTTTCGGGCCTCGGGGTATATCCCTTCACCCGGTCATTCTTCACGGCCCACTACAACGGGCCGGTTCCGGGCGCTTTTGTAGTTAAAGGTGACGTCAGTTTATTAGCGACTATTTGCCGCAGTCAGTTAAGTTTATCGAGTCGGTTAAGTTATAATAAAAAAGGAGGTTATCTGGTGTTTGTAGTTGGACTGGCTTGGCGGGGTTTTATCGAGTCACTAATCTATGTAGCGAGGAGTTCTCTTGGATAGGGTCGCCCGTCCGGGAGCCGTGTATGTAGCGGTGCAAAGTCGTTGAGGTGTTGATGTGGCCCGTTGTCAACGCGGTCAAACATGCCGCGCGCCAGCTGGACCACAAATTCTTGAAGGCTTTCAATTTTCAGGTTGGCCGCTATAACGTCATTCCGGACGTAGCGACCCGCACCGACAATGGTCCGTAATAACAAATTCTGTTGGACCTGCAGTCACCGCTTCTGTCGATCTTTCAGAAGCGCGTACCAAGCCGGAGCAGAATAAGTCAACAATGGTCTGATGTGTAAGTCTTGTAAATGGTGGTCTTCGTTTTAGTCGGCAGCTTGGATACCAGGACTGGACAGAGCATCACCCGCGCACATCTGGTTTTGCGGACGACGAAGTCTCGTCCACAAATAGCGCCAGCTTTACGTCGTCCTCCCATTCGCGCAGGTGTCCTGCCAGAGTGAGGATGTCATTGGTATAAGCCACCTATAGGACTAGAGACAAACAGCTGCCCTGTGGTACGCTGGCTCTTATGGGTCTCATTGCGGATTCGGCGTCATCTACACAAACGTAGAACCTCCTGTCTGCGAGGAATGACGCCACTAGCCGCAACATAGCAGGAGGGATACTGGTCGACGACGGGCACTCTTGTACGCGGCTCTTCTTCCGGGTATGAAGCTCCATGAACTCTGCACTTGCTGGATTCGGCATAAATAGCTCCTCGAAGTACTCTGCTAGGATATCCGCTCTACCCTTTTTTTTTTTAACATGGGGAAATGCCTACGCATACCCGCCTCGCGGGGGCAAGGACGGGTATTGTCGGACTCGCACCGACTAAAACCCCATGGTGTTCCACCTTCGTCGCATATTGGCAGGGCTACGGGAACGCTTTCGCACACTTCCGCGACCCCACCAGCGACTGCCGCCCCATGGCAGCACCTCATCGGGAGAGGAATATTCCTCCCCGTTCTCCTTCCCAAGTAAAGCGCACCAGAATACATGGCACGCCTTCCTCCACGGCTTCCAATTACATCTGCGCAACAGACGCCCCCCGCGTCCGATGCGCGAAGGCCATGGGGCCAGGAAAAACGAGCACTTAGAAGTACTAGCCTTCCCGACCCCAGCGGTGGATCTGGTCTATGGCTCCGCCGCCAACCAAGATTCGGCTGCGGAGGATAGGGAGAGCGGCGCCTCGCAATACCGACAATCCTCTCCCCCCGCAGCCCCATCACCACCGCATCAACGGTGCGGCCCCGTTTGAGTCGCGGAGGATAGGGCGAGTGGCGCATCGCCATACCAACACTCCTCTTCCTCCGCGACTCTACCTCGGCTGCAGCGGTAGGTGGGGAGGACACACCTCTCACCGCAGTCCACCAACACACATTCGAAGTGGGCTTCCCAAGCCCACTCGGAGTGGCCACCTCGGGCCGGCCCTCCACCTCGGCCCAGCCATATGGGTTCCTCTTTGTTTCGCCGTGTGTGACCAAGCCACGGCTTCTAAGCCCCCCGCCACGACAAGGCGGGAACCCGTTCGGGGGGGGATCCGCTCTACCCTTGGCTTGGTAATATCGCTCACCCGCATTGTTGGTCAGTGGGCAAACGGGAGGGCGAGTTTTCGTTAACTGCCGGTTTATATGAACCTAATGTCACTCCAGTTACTCTTGCAGAACACGATGTACCTTGATGTTCAAGACAGAAATTTTCAGAAGAAAAAGCTGTACAATGTGATGTAAGTCTGAAGCATTCCAGCACACAAGTAGAAATCTCTATGGTTGACCAAGCAGAAATACAGTTAGAAAGAAACAAGGACTTAGATGTCAAGTAGAAGATATTATATCTGAAGAAGAATATTTGCCTTCTACACAAGGAAGTACTGTGGAAATATCAGGGCAAGAAACAAATACTGATTCTACATTAAAAGTATATGATGTGCCTCTTGCCCTTGATTTAAAAAAAAGTAGAAAGCTCTCCTGATAGATATTTGGGTGTTCTCTAAAACTACTATTGGTTAATCGATTACATTTGTAATGATACAAAAACGCTAGCAGTACATATTTTAACAGTGGTCTTTAATTTAAACATGGTGATCCATATTATAAGATAGCTGATTTGTTTAATGTATCAGAGAGAACACTCCAAAGAATTTTCCTAAGGGTTTTAGATATGATTTCCACAATGTGTACACAATTTATTTACTGACCTTCAGTCATTGATATTAAAAAAACACATGCCACTTTCTTTTAGAACAAATAAAGACTATTCTAATGTACAGAGCATTATAGATTGTTTTGAAATAGAAATAGAAAAACCAAACAAACCTCTAGAATAATCAGATACATAGTCGCAGTACCAAAACTGCAACACCATAAAATATTTAATAAGTGCCACTCCTGATGGTTTCATAACCTTTATATCTAAAGGATACGCTGGGAATATCACAGATGTTAATGATTTCTAATACCGAACACTACACATTGAATAAAACTATTATTTACGGATTTTATCGCGTTTAATTACTTTAATAATTATTATCCCGACGTTTCGTTACTCGAAATAAAAAATAAATTAAAGTAGTTAAACGCGATAAAATCAGTTGTTTTATTCACAGATGTTAAATTAGTAGAGGAAAGTGGTTTCCTTGACATTGAAAGTATTTTACAAAAAAAAAACTGTAAAGTTACTTCGTCCACCTTCTGTATCAGCTAATAAAAAGATGACCAAAATGGAGGCTATTGAATCCAAAGTGATAGCTAGCCTGCGAATACATATAGAAAGAGTGATACGAAGAGTGAGATTGTACAAGTTTTTGAAGCCTCATTCAACTATAAATAATAAATTGGTCAACTGTGTGAATGATGCAGTTGTTGTGGCATAGATTACTGACTATGTACTAGAGAGTTATAAGCTTATAAGTTACTTCTGTCAGCTGTGCCGTCACGTCAGTCTTACTTTTTTTTCCGGAAACATGAAAAACGTAGGCACAGGCATCGCATTTTACAATGCCTCCAGATGACGTCACTTCGGACGAAAAAAATTATTTTTTCAAAAATTTATATTTAATTAACTACAGGCCTAAAAAAAACAAAAGACATGGGTCTTTTCTTTTACATCCCTCTATCGGAAAAACACTTAAAAAATAAGTATTTTTTGTCGCATTGTCCATTGGTAGGGCGACGCGACGCATGGTGCTCATTCGCTTTCCAGATACGCCGCTCGCAGGCCTTTCCTCTGTGGGCCTGAATTGCAACCGACAGTTCATCTGTTAGTTGGTTCAGCTAGGTTTTAAAGCTCATCCTTTCTTCCTGAGAAAGGGACGATCGTAGAGGCCGCGTTGAGAGCCTCCTGGTTGTTCTTGAAAATTCTGGTTGCAGCGAACTCTACGTCGTCCGCTGAGTGCATCGGTGCGTGTACTGGAGATCTCTCCTGCAGGTGTTGGTGGCTGAGCCTCCGTCGATCTTGGTCTTAAAGGCTCTGGGCCGCGTAGTCATTGCCTTGGTGCCAAGGGTAATTAGAATCGGGAGGTGCTGTAAATTCAGGTCATACAGCACCTTTACCACAGCTTCCCAGAGAGCACGACGCCCAGTACATACGGACGATTACGTTCGTAGGAACGTGTGTTGGCTCCTTGGTACCTTAGACGTCGTAGTTATAATTTTCAGCGTCTTCATAAAGTTCACGACCCGACGGGTTGATCAGTCTGTCGGGAGTCAGGCGGGACCCTCATGCCGGGTGTTTGGTGTTTAGGTCCCCGGCTATGATGGTGGGCATGCCTTCCATAACCGTCCGGACGTCTGAGGTGTGAAATAGAGTCCTTGGCGGACGGTATGTTCCTCGCCTCCATTTTTATGCCGATTGAACGCATCGTTTAGAAAAATGGAAGGTCCAGCTCTTGATGAATGATGTCCCTCCTCAATAGAATTGCCGTCCCTCTGTAAGCGATCCCGTTTATAGAGGAAGTAATTTCTGATCATGACGTTTCTCAACGTTTTGCTGAGTCAATTACCAAACCTTAATTGGTCCTCAAATGACTTGGCTATCTACTTGTGCAAAATAAGATCACGCGAGCCAAATAATAGAATCGCTTCACTTTTCAATATATCCGAGTGAACTGTTGGAAGAAAAATAAATAAATTAAGGCAGTGTCTCACTACTGACTTTGTTCCGTTGCACCTTGGCTTAGACCATGTAACCAGGGACGAATTGATAGCCCACAACCTGGCCATACCTAAATTTTTTTGGTAACGAAGTGTCATCAAAACCAATAATTATATTCGATGGAACTTACATTATTTCAACGCCGGACTTATAGCCTTCATGAGTACAAAAACCTGATAAAACCATTCATGATGGTGTATGCGGATGGATATATTTTGGACGTAACAGGTCCGTACTCTGCACGGAGAACGGATGCTGACATAATGAAGATGATATTGGAAAACCATGATGCACCCATTGAAGACGGACCGTTCCATTTTTTTTTTTTGCTTCAAGGTGACGTATTTATTTTAGATGGAGACGAGGATTCCATTCCTGGATGGATTCCAGGATGGATATATTTTGGACGTAACAGGTCCGTACTCTGCACGGAGAACGGATGCTGACATAATGAAGATGATATTGGAAAACCATGATGCACCCATTGAAGACGGACCGTTTCATTTTTTTTTTTGCTTCAAGGTGACGTATTTATTTTGGATGGAGACGAGGATTCCATTCCCTTAATTGAAACATATGGCTATGATGCTCATACGCCGCCAAGCAAACGAAGACAAGACATGCAATTACAATGGTGCGATGGGTCGTCGAAACCATAGAATACTATAATATTATAGTATTCTATGGTCGAAACTATAAATGGCAGATTCAAGCACGACTTCAAGATATTCAGAAACAGAGTATTCAATAAATATATGCCGCATATATTTGAATATTTTAGAATTGCTGCAGCTTTAATTAATTACTTTCAAGATCCGTACGAAGACAGTCTGTACACAGAAGATTTCATCTAAATAATTAATCGTATAGTTGCCGACACGAAACGTGAGCACAGATGAACTATGGTGGGGGTTGAGCCAGGGTAGGTACAGTGTCGGCCAAAATTATTAGGTACTTTTGTTATTTCAATTCATAATTGAATATTTTCGCTGAATTTTTTTCGAAATTCTGAGTCATTAACTCCTTTAACTATACGCCGTACAGTAGCTACGTAGACATTATTCGCCTAAGCAGTCTGTTTATAAACGTTTATCATGTTTTTTGCAATACCTAATTATTTCATGTAACGAAACACTGAATAGACCATTTGTCGCGATTGTCTTTTTAACACTGAATTATTTCTTCTCTTCATATTTAGACCAAAATCCGAATGCTCAAACTATAACGAAAAACAAAATAACAACATGAAATATCAAAAACAGTTAAAAACAAGAAATACACAAACAACAATTAACAACGAGGTAACACTACAATTAACAAAAATAAACTAATTAAAAAGTTATCACTAAAATTGCTCTCAAGTGTACGGTAGTAAAATGATACATGCGGACCCAATAGACGACGGAATCGGCTGACGAACCAATCACGATGAGCGTCAGCGTGGTCAACGTCATATCGATCAATAAAAAGTATGCTCACGACTCATGCCAGCAATTATAATATACAACGCCCCAATCGACTGGCCGAGTATGTGGAGGAGAACAATCTAAACAGACAAAGAGTGACATTTCACAGAATGACTGCAAAAGATCCGGAAGTAGATTAAATTCTCAATTGGCACCTATCACGTGAGGTTAGCACGGTCGTACTGCAGTGAGCATTTGAAACCCACGGGAGTATATAACATGGAAATATATACACACATCCAGTGGCAGTAGAGGGGAGAAACAATAATGCTTTATTCAGGTGCAGAATTCAACCACGACACGTTACGACTAAAAAGTATTATACTTATATTAAGAATACAAATGGAATAAACGCAATAACAGAATATTACTGCTCGTACTACCATGGTAAAAGGACATTGGGAAGTCATTAGTGTTGTCTATTACTTAGGGTGGGCTAGACATCAAGATCACTTTGACCCCCCTGCCCTGGGTATGGATTATGTTATAAGGGACATAGAAATTCAATAAAAATTTATTTCGATATATTGTTTTTTTTTTGTTATATATCATGGAACCCCAATGGTAGGTACCTAAATCTCCGATCTGCAATGAGTCTTCTAATACGACGATTTTAATGAATCCTAAGTTGATTATTGTACTACGAGTTCAAAAATTATATAATCCAGCTATATCTCTAGGTCACCTAGACACATCCAATAGCAATTTTATCGTCATTAGTTACATACATATACGAATTTTGTTGATAAATAGGAATTTTGAATTTTTTTGTGTATCGCCTGAACAAAAACATAAAGCAATATTTTGGTGTTAGCCATTGATTTCGAACATAAAAAATATACTATATAAATATAACAAAAAACTGAGATATGTCTCATTTCTGTCGGGCTGGGTATTTTCTATGGGGCGTGACCGTTCTTCTTTAATTCATCATTTAAGGCTCAGTCATTTGTTGCTCTTCTTCATTTTGCACAACCACTTCTTGATCATAACCGGGTTCAACCACTTAATTGCTTAAAATATAAACTGTAGTGAGATGTGAGATTATTAGTATGACTGGTAATGTGTATTAGCGGAAATTCACGGAGGTGCTAAATCTTGATGGAGACATACTATTTGAAGTGACAACATTGGGTCTAGTCACAGTATTTGTTCTTACGATAGGTGGTTTTGAAAATGAGGATGGAGATTCGGGTGATAAAATCGAGGAAGACGAATATGTAAAATTTTCCGATCTAGGCCGTTTCAGAAAAGGTTTAGATGATGATTGAGTAGCTGTTGGTGACATAGCTGAACTAGATGAAGACGAATGAGCAGGCAGATGGTGACCGAGATATATTACCCGTGCAACGAAATAATGAGTGAATTTCAAACATAATATCTTCACGTTTGTTTTCAGGTAGTTTTTTGAGTTTTTTGGCTATAAGTTTTCTAAAAATGTCACATTTATCTTCTCCGTCAGTCTTTCGGTTAATAGCATTATTGTTTGAAAAGCTTCAATCATTTGTTGACTAGCCTGTAGCAGTTTCGGAGGATTATAACAACGACGAATAGTTTTAGTCTGTTCTGACGTTTCCTTATCAGTAGCTATCTTTTCAGACTCATCATTTTTTTCAGACACAACATAATTAACGTCGTCGGATATGATTGAAGTTTCTTTCATTATGATTATTTCTTCTATATCATCATCTATTTTTACTGCATTTTGTTGTTCCTATAATAAAAATAATAAAATATGTTTTATTATTTTGCAGCTACCGGCGAATGCTATGGAATGTTTAGAAGTTGAAAAGGGATTCCAAAAAAACTTTCCTCATGCTGTAGGTGCCATGGACGGCAAACATATAGCTCCCCTATAACATTGCCCAAATAACTCAGGGTCAGAATATTATTACTATAAACAGACATATAGTATTTTGTTATTAGCTTTAGTCGATAGAAAATATTGTTTTATTTTACTGACATTATAATGGGTTTTTCAACAAGAACTTTGTTTTTTAATTGGGGCAACACCAACAACATGACGGTTTTGACATTTAGTTTTTTGACCTATTCGTAGTAGATGCTTTGGCAATTGCTGCAATGAATTCAATTTCTCTCGGAAATCGCATTAAAATAATTAAAATCCACTATGAAAATGGTGGTTCTGTTAAAGTTACGTTTCGCAAAATTCGTGATATTTTCGGACAACATAATCGTCCTTCTGAGACCGCTATTAAGAATTTGGTCGCTAAATTTGAATCGACAGGCTCGATACAAAATGTGCCAACACCAACGCTTGTTTGACCGGATCTTTCAACCGAAAACATCGCAGCAGTGAGCCACAGTGTTGAAGAAGATCCAAATTTGTCAATTACTCGACGTTCTCAACAATTGGGGTTATCCAAAACCACCACATGGCGAATTTTGCGTAAGGATTTGGCTTTGAAGCCTTACAAGGTTCAACTGGTGCAGGAATTGAAGCTGACCAACCACTCACATCGCCGTAGATTCGCTCAATTCATTCAGGAACAGCCCGCTGGTTTTTCTGAAAAAATCATTTTTTCAGACGAAGCCCATTTTCACTTATCAGGGTACATCAACAAGCAAAATTGCCGCATTTGGGCTTCTGAAAATCCTAAAGCGATTATTGAGAAGTCAACGTGTCACTGTATGGTGCGCTATGTGGTCTGGAGGCGTGATTGGGCCGTTTTTTCGAAGATGAGGCTGGAAATGCGGTAACGGTCAATGGATCACGCTATCGCGAGATGTTAAAATCTCAATTTTGGCCTATTATTGATGACATCGATATCACAAACATTTGGTTTCAACAGGACGGTGCCACATGTCACACAGCCAACGAAACGATCAATTTATTGCAAACCAAATTTCCCGATCGCATAATTTCACGAAATTCAGCTGTTAAATGACCAGCCAGATCGTGTGATTTAACACCACTGGATTATTTTTTGTGGGGCTATGTTAAGGACAGAGTCTATATGGAGCCAATCGAATCGATGGCGGCCTTAAAACTCAAAATCCGTGACGTGATTAACGAAATAGACCCGCCATTTTGCCAAAAAGTGATTAAAACTTTGATGAAAGAATCGACATCTGTCAGCGTGGTCGTGGTGGACATTTGCCAGAAATCATTTTTCATTCATAATTGCCAAACTTTTCTCTTCGTAATACAATAAAATTTGAATTATCTTCATCTAAACTCTTTGTTTTATTTTGTTTTAGAAAACAAAGTTCTTGTTGAAAAATCCTTTATGAAAATGTAGGAGTAAACCCGTACATTTTATATGTTAACGTAATTGGAGCGCGTGCTTGTGTTTGACGTCATTTTAATGCATTGTACACATATTGTTCTCATAATAAATTCAGTACCATTAGCAAGGCGTTACGATAAACAGTGTTTTATTTTGCATCCTACAATCTCAGTATTTGAGTGGTACTCCTCAGCAGCATTTAACCTTGCATTGTATTGCATTACATACTTGCATAGTTACACATACAGGGAGTCAAGGACGGATCATTGACGGTGGTGTATTTAATAACTCTTTACTATGGGAGTAAATGTCTTCTAATGATCTGAATTTGCCTTCACCTTGTCCATTGCCTAATGATAATGTTAAGTAGTTAACATGCCGTATATAATGTTAGTTGACGGAGCATTTGCTTTACATGAAAACATTATGAAACCATACCCAGAAATGCATAGGCCCGAACGAGAACGAAATTTTAATAAACGATTACCTAAAAGTCGAGTTATAGTGGAAAATACATTTGGAGTTTTAAGCACAAAATTTAGAATCTTCAAAAAGTTTATTGAGTTAGATACAGCGAATGTGCCGGTTGTAATAATGACATGTATTTTACTACATAATTTTCTTCTAAACAGCAAAAGCTCACAAAATATTTATATGCCTCATGGCACGTTAGATACATTTGATGAAAATGGAAATTTATGCCACCCAGGTAGATGGCGACGAGAAGTTGATGAAAACTGTTCAATTAGGAATTTGCCACAAATATCACGAAGGCCAACCTTAAGAGTCATGCAGATAAGAGAGCGTTTTACAGACTATTTTCAAGCACAGCACAAAAGAGACAAAAAATACGTCAGTTTGTTTTGTTAGGTTAGATTACAAGCGTGAGGAAAAATTTACACTGCAACTAGCTGTTGTAAAATTAGAAATTAATACGTAAAGAAAGCTTGAAAAGGGACACTGCTATTACCGATTATCATCGATAGGTATAGGCATGGAGGTTAGAGAACAGGAGAACGATGGCCCCGTGCTAAAGCATAGCCCACCTGTCCATGAAAATTTGTAGAATTTATCGCGGCGCTCCCATCGGTGAGTAGTGGCTGCGAAGTCAGCTGTTTATGAGTACAAGATAAAGTTAGTTGATTAATGTACAAATTTTCTTCGCGGCATTGGTGAGAAAATAACCATGCTCCGTAATTTTTTAAGTTTTGACAAAAAGAAACATTAAAAAATGGAGAAATATTTTATTGCGTGCAAGTGGTTTAGCATTTGATCGGAAAAATAAACCAAAAATGACTTTAATTTAGAGAACTTAGCGATCGCAGCGCCTCACTTATTTTGTCCATATTTCTGGGACACTTTTTTGCTTCAGCAATCGTTCTCCTAACCTTTAACCTCTATGGGTATAGGCATGCGATGCGAGGGAGAAGCAATGATGTCAAACTCAAATCAATTACCGTAAACCACTGACCTCTATATATACAAGTACACTGGACTGGCTATAAACCGTGCCATGATGAAGCGATTTGATTTCCGTCATTTTGGCGCTGACAGCAGAATTGCACGTCCACGGAACTAATAATAGGAATAAGACAGTGTATCAAATTATATCTATAAAATTTCTATACTCTACCTATACCTAAATAAATAGAAAGGACTCTATGGATAGATGGACTCTACCCGTAACGTCCATTCTATTTATGTATCATATTAATATAACGCCATTATCATTCATCATCATTAAAACCATTCACAAGTCCACTGCTGAAAATAAATTTCCCCCAAGAAATGCCACAAAGCACGGTCCTGAGCTATCTGAATCCATCAACTTCCTGCATGTCTTACCAGGTTTTGAGTCCATCTAGTGGGGGAACGTCCTACACTTCACCTGCCGGTACGGTGCTGCCACTCGAGAACCTTTTTTCCCCATCGGTATTCGGTTCTTCGAGCTATATGGCCGGTCAATTTCCACTTCAGCGTACTAATCCAATGGTCGATGTCGGTCACTCTGATTCTGCTGCAGATATCCTCATTCCTAGGTTTGAACCCCTGAATATAGCCCTCTTCATAGCTCGCTGAGCGACTTCGAGCTTCCTCAACGGCCAGCAGTGAAAGACCTCGTCTCAGATCCATAGGTCATCACTGGCAACACGGACTGGTTGTACAATCTAGTTTTGAGGTATTCCTGACGAGAAGATGTGTCGTAATATCACGAACGCTGCCCAGCTGAGTTGAATCCGTCGATTGACCTGTCGGTCGAAGTTGAACTTACCTACCCGTCGGAATATTTGTCCCAAGTAAAAATACTCGTCAACAACTTCAGCTAAGTGCTCCCAAAAACCACCAGCATAGGTGTGACATGGACATTACACATGACATTTGTTTTGTCCATGTTCATCTTAAGACCTATCCGTTGAGAGACTCTATTGAGGTTATTGAACATAGTGTAGGTCCTTCAGCGATTCTGCCATAAGGACTATATTGTCGACAAATCGAAGATGAGTAACGTGCATGCCATTGACGTTAAAACCGTATCTATGGAGTGTAGAAGTAAAAAGTACAGACTGTGTATTAAAAAGTGTCCATAAAAACCATTAAAAAAGGGTGACGCCACTATAACCACGAGGTAAATTTTAAAGAACGCACCGAAAAATATTAGTGGGATAGACGAATTTTTCGAGGTTATATTTACTAAATAAAATTATTTTAGATTTTAGAGCTACTGAGCAGTTTAGCACCACACTTAAACCGTCGACAACTGCTAAGTTAATTTTATCCCAGTAGCTACTCCAGCGCTGTTGTGGAGAGTTTTTGAGCTGTTATTTACTCTTACTTCTACAGTCCGTAACATAACCGTATCCTTTCCAGTCCAGTAGCTTGAAGACGTCTTCCAATGCAGCGGTAAAGTATTTCGGGGGATATTACGTCACTCTGTCTTACACATCTCTACAGTTGGATTAGTTTTGTACTCTGGTTCTGTACTCGGATAGCCATCGTAGCCCTTAGACCATTCAACTAAAAAAATATTAAGATTAAACTATCACACAAAATAAAAATATAAAACATAATTTCCTAAATAATTTATTGTCAACCGTTCATTTAGTTCTAGTATTATAAAGAAAAACAAATCAGCTGCTGTAATAACGCTTATTCTAATCAACTACAAGTCTGTATATAAACAGTAAAATATTTTCTACTATATAAAAATTTATGTTTGTTTGTACTTTCTACGATGCCATACCGTTCATCAGATTGCGTTAAAACTTATTGGTTGCACTTGTGCGAAGGTTATACGCATGGTACAAGTAACTGACACTAAGTGGCGTGCGTATTATACTTATTATTTATTTGAAAGTTATAGAAAGTTATATATCATTATATTTCAATGATTGTATTATCATTCCTAATTATA